GAGGGGGGGGTGTGTGAGGGGGGGGTGTGTGAGGGGGGGGGTTGTGTGTGAGGGGGGGTTTGTGTGTGTGTGTGGGGGGGGGTTGTGTGTGTGTGAGGGGGGGTTGTGTGTGTGTGAGGGGGGGGTTGTGTGTGTGTGAGGGGGGGGTTGTGTGTGTGTGAGGGGGGGTTGTGTGTGTGTGAGGGGGGGTTGGTGTGTGTGTGAGGGGGGGGTTGTGTGTGTGTGAGGGGGGGTTGTGTGTGTGTGTGAGGGGGGGGGTTGTGTGTGTGTGTGAGGGGGGGGGTTGTGTGTGTGTGTGAGGGGGGGGTTTGTGTGTGTGTGAGGGGGGGTTGTGTGTGTGTGTGAGGGGGGTTGTGTGTGTGTGTGAGGGGGGGGTTGTGTGTGTGTGTGAGGGGGGTTGTGTGTGTGTGTGAGGGGGGGGTTGTGTGTGTGTGTGAGGGGGGTTGTGTGTGTGTGTGAGGGGGGGGGTTGTGTGTGTGTGTGAGGGGGGGGTTGTGTGTGTGTGTGAGGGGGGGGGTTGTGTGTGTGTGTGAGGGGGGGGTTGTGTGTGTGTGAGGGGGGGGTTGTGTGTGTGTGTGAGGGGGGGTTGTGTGTGTGTGAGGGGGGGGTTGTGTGGTGTGTGTGAGGGGGGGGTGTGTGTGTGTGAGGGGGGGTTGTGTGTGTGTGAGGGGGGGTTGTGTGTGTGTGAGGGGGGGGTGTGTGTGTGTGAGGGGGGGGTGTGTGTGTGTGTGAGGGGGGGTTGTGTGTGTGTGAGGGGGGGTTGTGTGTGTGTGAGGGGGGGTTGTGTGTTGTGTGAGGGGGGGTTGTGTGTGTGTGAGGGGGGGGTTGTGTGTGTGTGAGGGGGGGTGGTTGGCTGTGTGTGTGAGGTGGGGGGTTGGGGTGTGTGTAGGGAGGGGGGGTGTGTGTGTGGTGTGTAGGGGGGGTTGTGTGTGTGAGGGGGGGGGTGTGTGTGAGGGGGGCTTGTGGGTGCTGTGGGGGGGGTTGTGTGTGTGGGGGTGGGGTGTGTGTGTGGGGGGGGTTGCGTGTGTGGAGGGGAGTGTTGCGTGTGTGAGGGGAGTGTTGCGTGTGTGAGGGGAGTTGTTGCGTGTGTGTGAGGGAGTGTTGCGTGTGTGTGAGGGGAGTGTTGCGTGTGTGTGAGGGTTTGCGTGTGTGTGAGGGGGGGTGTTGCGTGTGTGTGAGGGGAGTGTTGCGTGTGTGTGAGGGGGGTTTGCGTGTGTGTGAGGGGGGTTTGCGTGTGTGTGAGGGGAGTGTTGCGTGTGTGTGAGGGGGGGTTTTGCGTGTGTGTGAGGGGGTTTTGCGTGTGTGTAGGGGGGTTTTGCGTGTGTGTGAGGGGGGTTTTGCGTGTGTGGAGGGGGGTTTTGCGTGTGTGGGAGGGGGGTTTTGCGTGTGTGGGAGGGGGGGTTTTGCGTGTGTGGAGGGGGTTTTGCGTGTGTGGGAGGGGGGGTTTTGCGTGTGTGGGAGGGGGGGTTTTGCGTGTGTGGGAGGGGGGGTTTTGCGTGTGTGGGAGGGGGTTTTGCGTGTGTGGAGGGGGGTTTTGCGTGTGTGGGAGGGGGGGTTTTGCGCGTGTGTGGGAGGGGGGGTTTTGCGTGTGTGGGAGGGGGGGTTTTGCGTGTTGTGGGAGGGGGGTTTTGCGTGTGTGGGAGGGGGGGTTTTGCGTGTGTGGGAGGGGGGTTTTGCTGTTGTGGGAGGGGGGTTGCGTGTGTGGGAGGGGGGGTTGCGTGTGTGGGAGGGGGGGTTGCGTGTGTGGGAGGGGGGGTTTGCGTGTGTGGGAGGGGGGGTTGCGTGTGTGCGAGGGGGGTTGCGTGTGTGCGGGGGGTTGCGTGCGCGGCGGGGGCGTGCGCGTGTGGGGGCGTGCGCGTGTGGGGGCGTGCGCGTGTGGGGGCGTGCGCGTGTGGGGTTGCGTGCGCGTGAGGGGGGGGTTGCGTGCGCGTGAGGGGGGGTTGCGTGCGCGTGAGGGGGGGGTTGCGTGCGCGTGAGGGGGGGGGTTCGTGCGCGTGAGGGGGGGTTGCGTGCGCGTGAGGGGGGGGGCTGCTCGTGCGCGTGAGGGGGGGGCTGCGTGCGCGTGAGGGGGGTTGCGTGCGCGTGAGGGGGGGTTAGCGCGCGTGGGGAGTTGTTGTGTGGGTGGGGGAGGTGTGTGTGGAGGTGGGGGTTGTGTGTGTGGAGGTGGGGGGCTTGTGTGTGTGTGAGGGGGGGGATGTGCGTGTGTGTGGGGGGGGGGGTTGTGTGTGTGTGAGGGGGGTTGTGTGTGTGTGAGGGGTGGGTGTGTGAGAGAGGGGCGTTGTATGTGTGAGAGAGAGGGGCGTTGTGTGTGTGAGAGAGGGGGGTTGTGTGTGTGAGAGAGGGGGGTTGTGTGTGCGTGAGGGGGGGGGCTGTGTTTGTGCGCGAGTGTGGGGGGGGGTTCACGCCCGGGGGGGGTCACCCCTGGTTTGTGGTCTTATTATAGCATCTTGTTCAGGGAAGCCCCCCAAAAAAGAATGCTTTTTTTTGGGGAGGGGGCGTGGTGCACGTGTGGGATTTTGTGTTGGTTTTGGAAGGGAAAAAAACATTTATTGAAGGCGAGTCGGTTTTTATCTTGCTTTATTGCAGCCAAGAGGAGGGAGGGGATGGAGGAGTCAGGGAGGGGGAAAGACGAAGAGAAGAAATGGGGGTGGAAGAGAAAGGGTGGGTGGGGGAGAGAAAGGGTGGGTCGGGAGAGAGATAGGGTGGGGCGGGAGAGAGAAAGGGGCGGAGAGGGTGGTGTGGGGGAGAGAGAAAGGGGGCGAGAGGGTGGTGTGGGGGGAGAGAGAAAGGGAGCGGAGAGGGTGGTGTGGGGGGAGAGAAAGGGGGGGAGGGTGGTGTGGGGGAGAGGGTGGTGTGGGGGAGAGGGTGGTGTGGGGGGAGAGAAAGGGGGGAGGAGAGGGTGGTGTGGGGGGAGAGAAAGGGGGAGGAGAGGTGGTGTGGGGGAGAGAAAGGGGGGAGGAGAGGGTGATGTGGGCGGGAGAAAGGGTGGTGTGGGGGAGAGAAGGAGGGGAGAGGGTGGGGGAGAGAAAGTGGTGTGCGATGAGAGAAAGGGAGGGAGAGGGTGGTGTGGGGGGAGAGAAAGGGGGGAGAGGGTGGTGTGGGGGAGAGAAAGGGGGGAGAGGGTGGTGTGGGGGGAGAGAAAGGGGGGAGAGGGTGGTGTGGGGGAGAGAAAGGGGGGAGAGGGTGGTGTGGGGGGGAGAGGGTGGTGTGGGGGAGAGAAAGGGGGGAGAGGGTGGTGTGGGGGGAGAGAAAGGGGGGGAGAGGGTGGTGTGGGGGAGAGAAAGGGGGGGAGGGTGGTGTGGGGGAGAGAAAGGGGGGAGAGGGTGGTGTGGGGGGAGAGAAAGGGGGGGAGAGGGTGTGTGGGGAGAGAAAGGGGGGAGAGGGTGGTGTGGGGGGAGAGAAAGGGGGGAGAGGTGGTGTGGGGGAGAGAAAGGGGGGAGGGTGGTGTGGGGGAGAGAAAGGGGGGAGAGGGTGGTGTGGGGGAGAGAAAGGGGGGGAGAGGGGGTGGGGGGGAGAGAAAGGGGGGGAGAGGGTGGTGTGGGGAGAGAAAGGGGGAGAGGGTGGTGTGGGGGAGAGAAAGGGGGGAGAGGGTGGTGTGGGGGAGAGAAAGGGGGAGGAGAGGGTGGTGTGGGAGAGAGAAAGGGGGGAGGAGAGGGTGGTGTGGGGGGAGAGGGTGGTGTGGGGGGAGAGAAAGGGGGTTGGTGGGGAGGAGGAGATAAAGGTTGGGTGGTGGGGGGAAGGGAAGAGAAAGGAGTGAGTGGTGGTGGGGGGGAGAGAAAGGATGGAGGGGGTGGGGGTAGAAGAGAAAGGATTTACCACTGAAGCAATTGCAGTGCGTGTGCTTTTTCAAAGAAAATAAATCCAACCCAAGCCTTGCAGTCCAGGTCTGTCCGTCTGCCTCTCTTATTGGTTTTACCCCCCTCCCCCCCCCCCCTTTTCTCCTATTTGCATTGCAGTTGATTTTTTTTAATAGAGTGGGAGGGTGGGGGGAGTATTTGGTATCTTTGTTCCCCCCCATCTGAAGCAAATTGGAGATATATGGTGCGGATTTGTTTTTTTGTGTGTGTGGTAGCCATTGCTGGTGGCAATGCAAGACGTCTCGCCCAGACGGTGCTGGTGGAGGGAGGGGGTAGAGGTGGGGGGGGGGGCTTGGCTTTGGGCTGAGAGAGGCCCCGTCCACTTTGTGCTGCAGGCGGAGATCCAGTTCTGGATTCTGGGACCGCCTGCTCGCCTGTATCTTGTGAGTCTGGCTGCTGCTCTCGCTCCCTTCTGCATTCCTGCCCGCTCCGCCAATGGGAGCTTGTGCAGACTCCGAGAGAGAGCGAGAGAGAGAGAGAGAGAGAGAGTCTGTGTGTATGTGTGTGTAAGAGGGTGGGGGAGTGGGGGGAAGAGTAGTATGCAACCAATGCTGTAGATAGTGCTTTGTAGCAGCAGCAACAGCAGGTAAATAATAAGTAATAATCGTTGCATTTGATACAGTGCCTTATCACGTCTTTGAGACGTCTCAAAGCGCTTCACAGGATACACTGCAAAGACTGCATTTTTTGGCGACACGGTGAAGAGGGAATACACACACACACACACACACACACACCAGGAGGAGCCTTGCATTGGTGGGCAACACAACACAGGGTTTTTGTTTTTGTGCGTGCGTTATGGTACAGATTTACACTTGCAGCAGGAGGAAGAAGACATTGCACACAGCCAGTGCCTGCTCTGCAAAGGCTGTTTAGTCCCATTTTCACTCCCACCCCCTCCTTCCTTTCTCCTTCTCTGGCCCCTCTTGTATTTTTTTCTGTGTTTTGAAATACGGCTGTGTGTGTCTTTGTGTGCGCCCTGTGTGTGTGTGTGTGTGTGTGTGTAATGTGGCTCTTTGCGCGCGTGTGTGTGTATACACTGACTATTTGCACGGGTGCATTGTGTGGTTCTGTGTTTGCACAGAACCGTGTGTGGCTGTGTGTGTGAGAGCTGTGTACATTGGGTTTGTGTGTGTATATAATATATAAAAATATATATCTGTGTGTGTTAATTTTACTGTAATTTCTTCTCCATTGTTAGAAGGTGGGGGTACATTGACCTGACTGCTAACCTGTACTTGGCCCTCGCAGTCTCATCTTCCTTCATGCATGAGCTTGGCATGTGTGGGTGTGGTGTAGGGGAGGGGGTTACCGACAAATGCAGAGATTACCTCTTGAATGGTTTTGATGTTGTAGTCACTGCATTATTACCTATGGGGTTCGATTCCTGGGCGGGGTGTAACCGTGGGTGAGTAATTTGGTCACTCAATCCATGACTGACTGACTGGGACGCTGCTGTGCGCAATTGGCTGCCGCGTTGCACCCACAAAATACAAAACACCGAGATAATCCACTTGACAATCTATTTTGTGAAGAGCTTTGTGACGTCTCAATGACGTGATAAGATGCTGTAGCAAATACAAGTTATTATTATAAATGTGGTCATGTGTAGTAACTGTTTATTTACAGGCATACTTAGGAGCTAGTTTGTGCACAGCGACGCCCATACAAATAATCGTGATGAATGATTAATTAGGAGGATTGTCGGCCAGGCTTATTGAGCAACTACCTTCTCTTGTGTCATGGGATCTTATATTAATATAATAATAATAAGTCTTGCATTTGATACAGTACCTTATCTGATCTTCGAGACGTCTCAGAAGCGCTTCACAGAACATACTGTAAAGTGTAGTGACTATATGTCGTGACAAGTACTGACGTGGCTGAACAGACATTGAGGTGGTGGGGGGTGGGGAGCAATCACGGGAGAGGTTCTGAGCCTCTGGTACCTGTGGTAGCTTCAAATCTGTAATAAGACCCTTGAGGTCGCCAAATATTTGCCTCGAAAGTAGGCGGTTTGTTGTACATTCCCTGGGGTAAAGTAATGAGACCTAATCGCTACCAGCAACGAGGATTCTCCAACCTTTTTTGCTCATTCAGCCACGGTTGTTTATCATCTGGTGTCAGAAATATTATTTGATGATTTGATTAATATTCTAGCTTTTGATACAGAGCTTACAACCTTGGAGTGCCTCAAAACACTGTGCAGGGAATTACTGTTCAGTTTGTTTACTTTACAAATTGAAAGAAGTTGAATCTGATGCAAATAGAAAGTAGTTTACTTGCGTAGTTAGGTACTGGGTAGAGCTGCAGCTTATGGATCAGGTTATTGCTGGATCGCATCCCACTCTGTGCTGTTGGCTGGCCTCAGCTGGAGCTGCATGGGGAGACTCCCCGGGCAGGGTGGGGCAAACCAGCCAGAGTTCCTGCTCCTGGTCTTGAACATGTATGTGGCAGGCGGGTGAGTCGAGGTCAGGCTCGGTTGTGGTGCCCTCTACAGACTTATGTGTAAGTTAGACTTATATGACTAACGCATAACAAATACACTAAATAAGTACGAAACACAAAATACTGCAGATGCTAGAATCTGAAACAAAAACCGAGAGAGCTGGGAAAACTCAACAGGTCAGGCAGCATCTATGGAGAAAGGAAAGTGAGTCAACATTTCGGGTTCTGATGAAGGGTCGGAACCCAAAACGTTGACTCACTTTCCTTTCTCCATAGATGCTGCCTGACCTGCTGAGTTTTCCCAGCTCTCTCTGTTTTACAGTAAATAAGTACATTGTTTTCCATGCTTTTTTCAATGGAGTACACGACTGTACTTACACTACTGTACTGTGCATGGGGTTCTTCATCACTGCAGCTGGTAAGTGAGCATGCAGTGGCGGGTCAATACTTTGTTTCCTGCACTTGATTTAAAAAAACACAGCGCATGCGTACTTCAATGCAGCCAGTAAGAGCAGCAATAGCGTTATGAGTTATAATATGATATAGGGTGTATTTGGGACCAAGAAACCATTATGATTTAGCTATTTTAGCGCCTTGGGAAGTCCTCCCGACGTGAAAGGCGCTCTATAAATTACATTTTGTTGTTGTATTTATCCAATTTGTAAAATATGACTTGTGCAAAGAACTCAAGTGGATTTTGGTAGTGAACTCAATGGGACTCTGGTGCACGTAAGACTTAGGTTATTATAAGATTCATAAGGAAATGACTTGCTGTAGCACCTTTCATATCGGTAGGACATTTACTATTAAGTGCCATGACTATATTTTGTTGGTGAACGTTAATGGGTAATGAACCTTTTACAGACTTCCTGCCCATACATGATTTGCACCATTCATTGCGTTTGTGGGTATAAATAAGATCTGTTTTGCAAACGGGTTTTTCTAATCTGTTCTCTTTTTATCTTTTTTCCTCCCACTTTCCTCTTACTTTCTCCCACCCCGGCACCTCTCTACAGTTTATGTACTGTTTGTAAACATGGACATCACAACATCTACGAACTGTCTTCCCATCGCACAGACACAAGATCTCGGCAGTGACCTCCCCACCCCAGTCAACATGGAGGCACCTCTCAGTCCGTTGGAGCCTGAGGCCGAGAGGGGGCAGGGCCCAGCTGCTGAGGACCCAGGCTTGCTCAAGAGCCCAGCTGCCAACGAGCAGGTCACCGTAACTCTGAACTCTGATGGAGGCAACGAGGTGTGGATCAAACCCAAAAGCTTTGGGGAGGGGAAGTGCGAGGGGAGGGAACTGGAAGCGTTTTACAACGACTCGCCACTTGGCCATGGGCAGGTGGGGGGCTCGGGCTACAGACTGAACGACCCCTGTGGAGCGGGCGAGGGTGATGTGGACTACCTGCTGCAGACCACAGGGCCTTCGTCCGACCCTGAGGAGGCAGAGGACTACCCTGAGGTGGAGGATTATCCGAAGACGATGGAGGAGTCTTACCCGAGGGTGATGACGGAGCCCGATGCCGATTCACCAGGGCCGGCAACAACCATTGCGGAGATGGAGCACAGAGAGCCGGTGACAGAGGGTGGGGAGCAGGAGGTGGCGTTTGGAGAGCGGCAGATGGAGCCAAGGGAAATGGAGTGCAGAGATCAGGAGGAGGAGCCTGGTGAGCAGGAGGTGGAGCCTGAAGAGGCGGAGCTTGGGGAACAGGAGGTGGAGCCTGAAGAGGCGGAGCCTGGGGAGCAGGAGGTGGAGCGTGAGGAGCAGGAGATGAACTGCGGAGAGCAAGAGGAGGAAGACAGCCCCCAGCCCCCCTCTGACACAGCCTGCCCAGGCTCTCCTTCCACCCCAGAGGGAGTGAAGATCGGTGATTGGAAAAGACCGGAGGAGCCTGACCCCTTGGGAGAGATGCAGGAAAACGAATACAAGGAACCCTGCATGGGAGAGGAGGAGGGGAAGGAGAGTGAGGATTGTGATCCCCAGTTGAAAAAATCCTTTATAGAGGACCTCTCAACAGTGCCTGCTGAAGGTAAGTGCGTGATTTGATGGTTTTTTTTTTGGCAATAGAGTATTGGGACTGGACTGAGAGGATCGATGTTGGGAATTGTTTGAGATAAAGGCACTGAAGGTGATTAGAGATGATAATGACGTGATTTGAAAGTTAGAATGTGGATCTTTAAGTTAATCTTGGAGGGACTGGGAGCCAGTGGATCCCAGCAAGGATAAGTTGGATCTTGACTGTTGACAAGAAAAAGATTGGTTTATTCTATGGTCCAATTCCCTTGGGATTTACAGGAAATCTCTACAAAAATAAAATTATTGTTATATTTCCTCATCGACCTCGATAGTGTAAAAGGCTGAGGGGAGCCCAGCAGGATTTGAACCCAGAACTGCAAGTCTTGGTGCCCAATCACCTGAGGCATCTGGGTTGTTGAGCAGCACTCGTGGCTAGCAGAGTCGAGTGTGAGTGAGAGAGGTGTGATTGGAGGCAGAACGTGTTTGTGGATTTAACACTGCACGGCATTCTTCTCTCACTTTATACAGCTGCCACTCAACAAACAGCCTGCGTTAAGGTGAATGCTCAAGAAAGTGAATGTAGGTCAGTTGTTGAAGTCCGTGTTGTGCAAGGTGACTTTTAAGCTTTGCATGCCTGAGTCTGTTCTTAGCCACCGATAGGTCGGGTTTTCACGTGGAGCAAAGTGAAGTCAGCCTCCTGATCTAATTTATTTGGTGTTTAGACACACACAGACCTGGCTTGGCACAGTTCTCCATAAATTGCTCTTCTGCCCTTGCCTGTCTTGTGATTAATAAGTAATCCTTGCATTTGATATACCACCTTCATAGTCTTGAAAGTGCTTCACAGTGAAGTGTAGTGACTGCTGGTATTCAATCACAACAACCACTTTGAAGTAAACGATTAATTGATCAAGGGTGAAGGTTAGGTCAGGAGAAATTCCCTTCTCTTTTCCAATAGTAACACAGGATCTTTAACATCCAACCAAAGAGGCAGATGAGACTTCAAGTTTTATCGTCTCACCTGAAGGTGTCTCCGATGATGCAGTGTTTCCCCCAGCACTGTACTGGAGCTTCAGCTGAACTATGAGCTCAAGTCCCTACATTTGGACTTGAACCAACAATCTTCTTGATCCAGAGGCCAGAGTGCTACCCACTGAGGTAATATCCAGTTGACACTGAAGCTAGTTGTAGCCCTATCCCCAAACTGTTACCTGGCTTTAGATCAGCAAAGACTCCAGAACCACATCAAAGTGCTTTTAGCCACAGTTATTGAAGGAGAGGGAAGAGGATTGTACAAAGAGCTCCATCTATTTGCCTTTGCAAGCTTTCTGTAAAGATTCCTGTTCTCTTGACAGCTGAAGATACAAAGACCTTCACCTGCGGAACCAGTACAGTTTTTGATGAAGTGGATGTGAAGCCGGACAAGGACACGTTGCTCAAGGTTGGCTTTTAGCTCCTCATGTCAGGACATTCATGCCGGGCTTTGGCTACGTGGCTGATGATGGTCTGTTGCAATGGTCGCTGCTAACCCTATTGTTTTTTTGCAGGAAAGCATGGAAGCGGGAAAGGAGTCCTCAGATTCACAGAGATGTACTTCCTCAGCCAAACCCAATGGTGAGAAGCAAGGCTATAACTTGGGTTTATTGTAGTTCTATTTGATCCTTGTTTCAGAATGTATTGTAAACTTCGCTGCTACTAATTATTCGAAGTGCAACTAATCTGCTCCAGTAAAGTCCCACATTGGCTGGATGAGCAGCACTGTTGTCCATGCAAATTTGCAGCCGTTTCTCAACAATGGCGATCCATTCATCATCCATATCTCATTAGCCAAACCTGACCTACTGTTTCCTAGCCTGGGTGGCGGGATTGGGAAAGAGTAAGGAGTGTAAGGGAGGGAAGAGTTTGAAAGCGAATATCGGAGACTTTCTCCTCAAAAGCAGCTGGTGACTGAGCTGATCCAATTGACATGAGTTCATTATGGTGCCCACTCAATACTGGAGAGTTGTCTCACTGGTCTTTGTCCCAGACTTGTTTCACGCAGTATTCTATCAGTCTACTTGGGAGTTCCATTGTACCGAGCCCAACTGGTCTTGTAACCTGCTGTGAAGAAGCAGTGCCCCAATCTTCTCTCCTTGATGCTTGTACTGTAACTGCTTCTCTGTGATGTTTACTCTTTGTCGCTTTCCTATTTCTCCTGCAGCAAAGGACAGTTCCACAGGCACTGAGGAGCGCAAGGAAGAGGAGTACGTCTCTCGGAGGCCCAGGCGTGCCACCAGGTTATCTTTCCAGGCAGCCGAAGCCCAGGCTCAGGCCCAGGCCGCACAGACTCTGTCCCACCGGCCACAGAGACACTCTCGATCCTTGGTCAAGGTGACGTGTGCCAATTGCAGGAAGCCCCTGCAGAAGGGACAGACAGCTTACCAGAGGAAAGGGGCCCCTCAGCTCTTCTGCTCTTCCACATGTCTCACCACATACTCTCAGAGGCCAACCTCGATCAAGATATGCACCTTCTGCAACAAGTAAATCTTTATCAATCTAATGCAGTAATGTGTGTGTGTGGGGGTGCGAGGGTGTTTGTGGGCGTGTTTTGGTGTGGGGAGGTTGTATTAAGTTTTATGTGCAGATTCTTTTGATTTTATCATCAATATTTCATGTAGCGCCTATGAAGCTGAAGCATCCCGAAGTGTCTCGCCTAGAATTACTGTTGAATGCAGTGATTGTATATTGGTTGTAACTGAAGCATCCAATTTGCACACAGCAAGATCTCCCTGAAGTTAATGACGCAATTTTATCTGGAGGATTCTTGGCCCAGATGTCAGTAGAAATTCCCTTCTCTTTTACAGCGGCAACGCGGGAATCTTTTAATCACCTGATCAGACAGATGGTTTCTCAGTTTAATGTCCCATCTGAAGGACAGCGCTTCTTGAGTTGAGATACAGATCAGCCATGATCTTATAGAATGGCAGAACAGGCTTGAGGGGGTGAATGCCCTCCTGTTTCTAAGTTTCTATGTTCTACGTTTCTATGTTCTCTTCTGTTTTTCCTTCAGGGACATTTTCAATACAAAGGAGTTGGTGGTGGCACAGGCTGGGTCAAGCCAATCCTTCCAAGAATTCTGCAACACCACCTGCCTATCGTTGTATGAGGCCAAGCTCTTGAAACCCACACTGTCCGACGAATCTGCTCGCTGCAGCATCTGCAACAAGAAGGGGAAGGTGGGGACCTGAGCTGCTTTTGCCAAAAAAAATCATGACCGAAGATCTGTCAAAAGTCTTTTCAATTTGTGTAAACACTTCGAGTCCAGGAAAGCTACCCGCTTGTGGCCTTAATGCATGATCATGACATTTTAAGATTTGGGGAGTCATTAAATTCAGTCTTAAAGTTCGGAAAACTTTCCGGGAGGGGTTAATAATCACTAGAGAATTCAGTCAATTCACTTTACAGTATATTCTGTGAAGCGCTTTGAGACGTGTTGAAGACGTGATAAGACTTTATATCAAATGCAAGAATTGTTATTATTACAAATGTAATTTGTTGTTAGTGGTGGTGTTAAGTTTGTGCCCGCATTGTCCCTACAGATTCTGCACGAGGTCAGTAATGGGAACGTGGTGCACCGGTTGTGCAGTAACGCCTGCTTCAGCAAGTTCCGAGCTAGCAACGGCCTCAAAACCAACTGCTGTGACAACTGTGGCGTTTACTTCTACAACCGGGGCTTCATGCTCCAGTATCTGTACCACGAGGGGCAGCAGAGGAGGTTCTGCAATACTGGGTGCTTGAACATGTACAAGAAGGTAAGATTAGTTTGTCTTATTGGTTAGTCCTAATAATCTACTGTTTGCAATATGCTACAGGACCAGTGTTGAGTCCTGTAGCATAGTGGTTAGCGCGCTTGCCTCGCAAGCAAGAGGACTCGGGTTCGATTCCCGGACAGGGCAAAACCTTAGGCAAGTTTCCTTACTCCACACTCCTGGTTGTTAGTCGATAGGCGGATCGCTTTCTGGGGGGTAACAATCCCTCCAAAAACATAATAATAATTAAAAAAAACTGGTGGCCATTCAATCCACAACTGCTTGTGGGACACTGCTATATGCAGTTGGCTGCCAAAAAATACATAAAGCCAATCCACTTTACTATATATTCCGTGAGGCATTTGAGATGTCTTATGGTCACCTCCTCTCCTCCCAGCTCAGGCGTCAGGCTCCACCACTGTTGTTGTTGTATTTACCTGTTAGTTTTTGGCTCGGTGGCCGGTTGCCAGGTTGGTTGACTCTCATTTCCAGATTTATTCAAATACCATTTCCAACCTGCAGGAATTATCTTTCTCTCTTTCTCTCTCTCACTCACAGAAGAATACTAAAGTGCTGCCTTGTGCTTGGTGCAAGACTATGGGGAAGAACTTTGACATGATCGCGAACGTTGACACTACGGGCAAGATGGGTTTTTTCTGCTCCCTGTGCTGCATTACCTCATACAAAGTCAAGCAGTCCGGAACCGTAGGTAAGATAGAGCCCCTTTCCTGTTTTAAAAAGGAATTGGATAAATACAGAAGGACTGTAATGTTAGCCAAATGGCCAAAAGATTAACAGTAAGTGCATCAATGTTTCCCATTGCAGCACCAAAAAACAACAGCCTGATACAGTGGAATATGTCTCCTTATTTCCATCACCTTCTCCATCCATACGTGTCTCCTCTCTTGCAGCTCCCAAATCTAAATGCAGGTATTGCAAGAAGAGCGTTCTGGAGCGGGTTTATTACAACATGACTGACCGGGTCGTGCACCAGTTCTGCAGCCCCAACTGTTGGACCAACTTCCAGGTGAGCAAAGAATCTTATTTCTCTTGCCTTTTGAAGATGTCTCTCTTGAGGGCACTGCGCGAGTTTGTCCCATGGAACAGTTTGGGATTGTAACGGAGAAAGTGATCTTTAAGTCATGGGCAAGAAACAATCCCAGGCCAGAGATTATTCCCAGGGCCTTTTGCTCTTGCTTTCACTGTAGTTTCCTCCTCAGTTCAAGACTTCTGATTCTTTTGTTTATTCTACTGAGGCTGTGTTTGTTTACTTGCATGTACACAGCAGCTGCCGCATGCTCGTGTCTCAACCCCAAGTTTAAACACTGATACTTGGTCGCTGTTCCAATGCTTGGCGGAATCTTGTCCTCGCCTTTGCTTCCACATGTGCACATCCACAAGTCATGCATTAAGTGTTTAGACTTGTCACCTGTGTGTTTAAATGGGAAAGGTTTGACCTAAAAGCTGCCACTTATCGGGAGTTTTTAAAAAGGAATTGGATAAGTTTTCACAAAGGAAAATTATGGGTTGAAAAAAGAACGGGTGAGTGGGGCTAAATAGACAGGGCGTGTACCAGCTCTCAGACTGCTGTCAACCCGATGTGCGGTAAAATACTGAGTTAGGTTCACAAACTGAAGGTCAGTAACCCTTTCCTGAAATACCCATGTTAAGAGTTCCATGTATGATTTTAAACTTTTTTGTTGTAAAATTTGTCCTTCTAGCAATCGACACCTGAGGGTTGCATTCAGCTCAATTGTACCTACTGTCACAATATCTTCACTGGGAAACCGGAAATATTAGACTGGCAGGTAAGAGTGCTCAAGGACATACTCCCAACGTGAAAGGTGCTATACAGATGTAATTTGTATTGTATTTGTGCCCCTGTGTGTCGATTTAGGGAGTTGATTTAGGTTGCAAAGCAATAAGGAGCTTAATTCTATACAAACTTTGTATTTATTTTGTTTTTAACCTGCGTATTTGCTACGAGCCAAATTTTCTAATTGGGTTTGTTGTCACATTTGTTGGGTGGGAGGACTTCACAGGCTTTACTCTAATGTGTAGCGACTGTGTATTTTGGAGTTGAACGTGGCAAATAATTAGCACTTGGCGATGTGCACGTCTGATATGAATTGCGTGGGGGAAGTTCTGCACTTTGGGGGGATTTATTTTGTGCGTTTTCTCTGCCTGCTTCAGGGCAGCGTGCGGCAGTTCTGTTGCAAGGTGTGCTGCGAGGATTACAAGAGGCTGCACGGAGTGGTGTCGATCTGTGAATACTGCCGGCAGGAGAAGATACTTCATGAAAAGATCAAGTTCTCAGGAGTGGAGAAGAACTTCTGCAGCGAAGGTACATTTCCAAACACAAACTAACTGTGGGGGGTGGAGAGTGCAGTGCTTAGGTCAGTGGTTACTGCCTCTAGCGCTTAGCAATATAGAATCCGTGGGTGTAAAATGCAGTGATTTTCCAACAGAAATCCAGGAGAGTTGTGAGCATACAATGGTATTGTTAGACAGGGGAAGCTTGTTCTGTGTTACTTTCTCTTCTAGCTCAACAGGTTGTGGGCTCGAGGCCACGTGCTGGGGACTATTGAGCTCACAGTCCAGGCTGACACTCCAGCGTAGTATGTGATGGGTTGGTTATTATGAAACAATATGCTGAGACTCCATCTGTGTCTGTTGTTCAGGTGGACGTCCAGATCTTATTGGAAAAGAGAAGGGAGTTTCTCCTGTTATCTAGGCCAAGGATCCCCAGACAAATTGGCCATTCACTTCACAGCTGTGTGTGGGACCTTGCTGTGTGCAAACTTTGCCCAGTATTTGCCTACAAGCACCCAGTCATTGCACTTGACAGGAATGACCTTTTGAAGTGCTTTGAGAAGTTTCAGTATTGGCGCTGTGTCAAAAGGCAGCCAGGATCCTGCTAACTGTTTGTGTGTGTGTATATATGTTCTGTTGGCAGGTTGCGTACTGCTTTACAAACAGGACTTCACCAAAAACCTGGGGCTGTGTTGCATCACGTGCGCTTACTGCTCTCAGACCTGCCAGAGGGCCGTGACCAAAGAGCTGGACGGGAATACGTGGGATTTCTGTGGGGAGGAATGCAAAAGCAAGTACTTGCTGTGGTACTTCAAGGTTAGTGGTTTGTTGCTTCTCATCAACTATTTGGTCCCATATACACAATGCACACACACACCCTGCCTACCTCTCAGCTATTAGAGGCTTGCACTCACACCGATGGCCAGAACTTTTTAATTTGACATCAAATACATGGTTTCCGCTTATCTATTCCACCGTGAGCGCACACACATACACATACTCGCTTGTGCACAGGTTGTTAAGAAACTGGATTGGTGGGAACGGTTGAGTAATGGTATAAGATGTGAAACCACAATGACTGGTGTGACTTGACTGTGTGTGTTTATTTTGAGGGTATGAATCTCTTTTCCGCCCTGGGATTTGTGTGTGTGTGTGAGTGGGCGGAGGGGAGGGTTAGGGAGGAAAGCATGCAGGCCCCTGCTGCTGTGGGTACCAGGTGAGAGGGTGCCTGCTACCCTGTGAGCAGAACAGACATTGTCACACGTCCTAACGCTTTGGGATCCAGAAGACTTCAGTCATCTCCAGTGTACCTGATTCCAGCCTCTGCTATCTCTCTCCTCACCTGCCGCAGTTCCATGGATGAATTAATTGACTTGATTTGCCACGTGTTTTCCTGGCTGGTGACCATTACTGAAGCTACTGGCCCTTTAACCCGCAGGATTTACACTGAACTGCTGTGTTTGGGGTGAGAGAGGGCACATTCGTCTGGTTCTCCTTTGCATCCAACAAGTAGAGGAAGCCAGCTGATGGATCTGATCGGGAGTATTTTATAGCCAATAAAAAAAAACTGCTCATTTTGTGAGGTGCTGTGTGCTGTGGTGAAGATCTTTCTTTGTTTTTTTTACCTTCTATTTTTTCACACATACACAATAACTGCATACATCTTGTATATCAGTGGATATGTGGAGCAGACTCCAGCAAAAGCAGTGTGACGATGTCTCTATTAAACTCCTTTAGCACATCTGGATAGCTAACTGTACGTGGTTAGGTATGTAATTGAGGATTGCTGGGATAAGTGCGAAGCAATCATTTTGTAAACCGGGTTATGGAAAGGTCCAGTGTGGAAACATGACTGTTGAGTAATGGAGGTGTAAGTTAAGACTTTGGAAACAAGGAGAGAGTGAGTTGCAGGATTTTCCTTTTTATTAAGCGGCTAAACCAGCGAGGTAGTGTCCTAGGGCGGATTACACAAGCCCTACCGAGCAAGTGGGCTTCGATATAATTAGTGGGTCCCTTCCTTTCGTTCCTGTGCTTTGTGTTCTTACTACTATGTGTTGTGCGCCGGTAACCCACTCACTGAGGTACTTGATCTTTCGCTCTCCTGTCTCTTGTCTAGTTTGTTTTTCCTTCTCCTTCGCTCTGTTCTCACACTCACTCGGTCTCTTCGCTTGCTTTCTTTTTTCTCTCTTTCTCGCTTTTCATTTCACTCCTGCTCTTCGCCCGCTCCTCGCTCGCTCGCTCTCACTCTTCGCTGGCTTTGGCTCTTGCTTTTTTCTTCACTAATTGTTTACTGTGTCCTTCAGGTAGCCAGATGCCATGCCTGCAAGCGTCAGGGCAAGCTTCTGGAAACCGTACACTGGCGCGGGGAAATTAAACACTTCTGCAACCAGCAGTGCCTCTTGCGCTTCTACAGCCAGCAAAACCAGCCCAATCTAGCGACGCAGAAGGGACCCGAGAGTCTGCTCAACAGTAAGTGAGGAGAGAATGGAGACCAGTAGAGTTGGCTTGTCATAGATGGGTGGGGCCAATAGAACATCCCGCAGGCCAGGACTCTGTGCGCTTCCAACACAAGCACGTAGAGTTGTGTAACTACTCCAGCAGCATTGTATCTGCAGGTTCAACCCTGTCGGAAAAGAGACGTATATAAGGTGCCATGTGTTGCATTTCCTCGTTGCTCTTTTGGTTCACAGCTTTACTGCGCCATATCAAGGGATACAGGGCAAGGGCGGGTCATTGGAGTTGAGGTACGGGTCAGCCATGATCTTATAGAATGGTGGAACAGATTCGAGGGACTGAATGGCCTCCTCCTGCTCCTATCTTCCTAAGTGTTGGCGCTCAGGAGCTTTGACCGGACTCCATCTGAGGTGTGTGTGTGCGTGTGTGTGTGTGTACGCGCATGTGTGCAGAATGAGAATCCAAAGCCTCTGCGCTTTTTTTTGCTGCGGTTTTAGCACTGGCTGTTTTTGAAACGGAAATAATAATTGATTTCTAGGGCAATGGACTATTCCTCACTCTCGGTAAACTTTTACAAAAACGGGCAGTCATTCATTGCGTGTATCCCCGGTGATGTGTAAGTGCACGGGAAAAGACTGCCGGAGCGGAAGGGACCACTTGTCGTGCTGTGCTGCTGTTCTAACTAGAACAGAGGAGCCCCGATCGAGATGTTCAAAATTAGGAGGGTTTTTGTTTGGCTTTTAAGAGGGAATTAGATGGATATTTGAAAAGGAAAAGTATTTTTAAAGTTTGCGTGGAGGAAGAGGGAATGGGGATTAAAGGGATGGAGCATTTTTGGTGAGTTGGCACGATGGGCCAAGTGGCCTCCTTTGTTTACATTGCTACCAAGAAAATGCGGGATTTATTGCAAGTCGGTGAGGAAATATGCCAATCAACGTTGATCCCTGTCTCGCAATTGTTCCCAAGTTACTGTTTGTTTAGGTTGGATCGCCGACTGCTTTTGGGGTGTGTGCGCGGGGTGTCGTTGGCATGGTCACTGCTCGTTCTGCTGGTGTCAATTCTGTCCCGTCTCCTTTCCCCTGAAATTCCGTACAGTCTCCGAATTTTAATTGTGCAGGATTGTGGCGAATCCTTCAATCCAGTTGTAACTTGGAAGCTGAGTTTCCTTTTGTTTTGAGAATTGCAGAAACCCAGCTTCGAGTTTAAAGCAGGGTTTGAAAACGTTTCAAAATTCTGCACATTCTTAAATTTGAAGCCAAGATGGTCTTGCGTGCTGAGACTGGGTGGAATTCTGGACCTTATACTTGCATAATGTCTGAGAAGTATGTCCTGGAGACAGCAGCTAATTGAACTGATAATGCTCACGGGTGCATTGTGCACCTATAGCGAGGAATACCCTCGGTTCCCGTCTTACTCCGTAAGCGGAGTGCTGCGCTGAGTATGGAGAGGACCAGTGTAGCGCATTTTCAGGATTAATTTTCTATAGCTCAGTGATTGTGGAAGAGAGAGAGGAATACTTTGACAACAATTGCACTCTGTGCTATAACATTAGGTGCGCCCTCCAGACTTTGCTTATCCTTGAAATGGTTAGGTTTTTGTCATGATGTTCAGAGAGGAAGTGCAGATACAATGAGCCTCCTCCTGCTCTGTAAAGTCTTATGGATCCAAGTAAGTAGTGCAGTGAGTGGGGGGTGGTGTTTGCTGTAATGTCATTGAGTGCGGTGGAATTGTTTACAGTTCAGACCCAGAACTGGTGTTGTCTCAAAGTCGATCAGGAGCCTGTCTAAATTCATAGGTTTGGGCTCTGATAGTGAGCAAACGATTGGGGAGTCTTGAGGGCAACTATGTGGCATTGATTTCACACAGGGTATGCTGTTTTTGGCAACCGAGGTAGAGGAGAGGGGGGAAAAAAGAGGGTATAAACTGATATAGAAATTCTAGGTGCAACAATTCAGTCTCCTCTCTTTTTTGCCCCCTTTTTAAAGAATCGTCACGTATGGGGGCGCAGAGGCGTGACGCATTGGTGCTCCGACGCTCTGCGCCACGGAGTGGTAGAAACCCGGTTCGCGTCCGCGACTCCCCATGCGGCGGGTTGACGATTTCAGTCGTGCCGCGGGATGGAAGCGGTGACCGGAGACCAGGTACGAGAATTTCTGGTCTGACTTTGTGTATCTCCGGGGGGCCCAGGCCAGTGGTCTGTCGGGCTGACTGCTTTGTGTTGAGTGTAGAACCAGGTGAAGTGAGTGATGAGAAAAGGAGTCTAATGTATTGACTAGAATTGGCTCAAAGGAGCTGCTATCACTTGCAGCTTTGCCTGTGATTTTGTTGGGTGTGAATATACCATTGGAGTGGATGTCCATGACTTGCTAGAGGGAGGAGGAGCAGGAGGAGATTGTCTGCATCTGTAAATAATATAGGCAGGACCTGTGCAATGGATTGAAATGTTGTAACACTGCCTTTCCACCACTGGGAGTTGTTTTTTGTGGCTGACAGTGGGCGCTTAGTGTTCGGTTGCTAATGCAGCATTTTACCGCATGGCAAAGCATAAGTGTCTGGCCTGTTTACTTGGTCCAATGTTTCCTAGATTCTTTTCCCCACTTCCACTGAATGTGCAAAATTGTCAGTAAATATTTGGTAAGTTTCCATTAGCATTCAGCGGCTGTTGGGTTGAATTCAGTTTGCCGATGAAGAACCGAGAGGTCCAATCATGTTTTTTTCCTGTTGAATTGCTGCGTATTGAGTTTGGGCTGCGATTGTTGGGTTCCATTGACTTCAGAATCTGTGTTTGGTGTTTCATAAAATAATGTAAGGGAGTGGGTGGCTGTGAGGGGTTACTGTGCAACCTGTGTGCTTGTGGTAAAATTGCGCTCTCTGTAAACCAGCCATTCAGTGTTTGGCCTACGCTCCAATCAAGATGGTAAGTTTTTCTGTCGCTGCCCCTCTCTCCCACTCCTCTTAACCAGGTGTGCTAGGCAGCAATCCCCAAACACCCAGATAAATCATTGTTCAATTCATTGCTGTTGCCTCCAAATGCACAGTCGCTACACTTGACAGCAATTCCTTGTGAAGCACTTTGAAGGTGTTTTGACATTGTAGGCAACAGACATCGGATGTGAAACTAGTTACAATAAACAAAAGAAAGTAGGTCCGGTAGCCGGGAGTAAAGAAACTTTGGACGGGTGGAGAGACAGTGAGCCCAGCGCTCATGAATGTAGGGACTTAGTATCTTACTGTTGCTTATTCTATTCGTTCACCGACAAAATACTCAGACACTGCACTTTACAGCGACTCCTGTGAAGCACTTTTAGACGTCCTCCTGACATGAAAGGTGCTATTTCAAATCCACAGATTATCATTGTGCGGATCGCTGAGCTCTGAATAAATCTTTATTTAAGTTTTGGATGTGATATCCTGAATGTGTGGGAGCTCAGTAATTGGAAGGGAATGAATGGATGACTCTGTCACCTTCAGGTTGTGAACTCCACTAGTGGGTGGGAAAGAGCATTGACGATTTGAGGATTCATATCAGATCTGGGTCAGTGCCATCGGGTTTTCCCCATCTTTTCTCCCCCTTGAATTACTGCCTGGTTGACGTGCTCCACCCTGTGTGGTGGATTGTGTGCTTTCATCGGGCTGTGTACTGGGTCTCATGGTTTATGTTCCACTGATGCCACATGTGTGGGACATATTCGTAAAACTGCCCATCTCTATTTGCCATCTTTACTTCTTTTCCCCCTCCAATTCCCCTCTTTATTTCTCCCCAGTGTTGAGCACAAATATTAACAGTGTTAAGCACGGTGTCAGGGGGCTGATGAAGGCATCTGATCGAACTGGATGCAGCAAAGAAAGTAACTGTATGCCACTGGGTGGGGCCATGTAGTCCAGAGAGGTGCCAGGTTTAATGCTGATCTCAATAGGGATCCTATAATTGGTAATAGTGACTTTGAAATATACACAGAGAGAAAGTTGCCAAGTCATTACCTCCAGTGTGACATCCTGTGGAAAGTGCCCAGGGGTTGCACTGTTTTCCCATTTGGAGTCCTGTAGTGTAGTGGATAGAGTGCTCACCTCGCAAGCGAGAGGACCCGGATTCAATTCCAGGACGGGGCAAGGCCTTAGGCAAGTTTCCTGACTCCACACGCCTCTGTTTACCTAGCAGTAAGTAGGAACCCGGTTGTTAGTCGATTGACAGATTGCTTTCCAATGGAATTAATCCCTTTTTTATATAAAAAAAATTGGGGTCACTCAATCCATGACTGTGGGACATTGCTGTGCACAATTGGCTGCTGCATTTCACCCACAGTCAGTTCACTTTAGAATATATTCTGTGAAGCGCTTTGAGACATCTCAATGACATGATAAGGCACTATATCAAATGCAAGAATTATGTCCCAGGCAGCTGTTACCACTGAGCAGCAGTGGGGAGAGCAGCAGATGCCAAGTGCTTTTTCTTCGGATGGGGGTCAAGCCCCTCGATGAAGGTTTGGGCTTTCAGGTGATAGGAGCACATCATAATCGCCCGCCCGCCTCCCACCCCTTTTGAAAACATTGATTTGGAGATGGCAATTTTTTTGGGGGAAGCAAAGAGGATCAGGAAACTGATTAGTTCCCCCCCCCCCCATGGATGTTTTAAAGGTTGACAGTATTGAGGTTTCTGGAGAGAGTCTCCCTGACATTTAGTTTAGTAAACAGGAACTCTTACAAACATTGGCTCAGTTTGTTTCAAACAATCTGTGTCTTGTGTTTGCAGATCAGGCGCAGGAGTCTAAGAACGCCGCATCTCCAACTCCCATGAAATTTGAAGTAAGTGACTTTTTTTGGTTTGGAGGATTTTTCCAGTGTCCGCAGGAGCGGGTTGAAGACTGCTGTGATTTTTTTTAGAGGAGGAGGGGGAAGTATAGCAAAACCCACTTGCATAAGTCTGATCTGTATAAATCGTATCATTGCCCAAGTCGTACATCTGCCCAAGTCCTGTTCAAGAGTTTATACTCTATGCATGTCTGACATAACTCATACTTTGCATAAGTCATATTAAATGTATGGTTCCCAACTGATACGACTTGTGTGAGGTTTACTGTATGCTGCTTTCAGAGAGAGAGCGCTCTATTCGGCTAGCTAGGCTGATCATATGGGGGCAGGGGGAGGAGAGTAATGACTAGTTATGGACAGGAGGAGACTTGGACAGCTGAGCTCTGAGCACAATCCCATGAACTATCTACAAATTTAGACTACAAACGACTACATTCAAGACTTCATATAAATACATAGATTAGCTTTTTCACATTCTCCTTTGTTTCTCTGTTCTTCCCCCTCCTATAGTTTCATCACCCTGTCATGTCTATGCTTCATGCATTTAGCTCCTCGTTGTGTTGTGTGACCACCACATTCTAGTGACTGAGAACGTAGGAATGGTTACAGAACAGATCTTTCAGCCCTTCCACAGACTGCCCCCACCCTCTTCCCTTTTAATGTACCAGCCAAACCAAACTAAAATGTAATCTCCATTCACTTCAGTGATGATTCCTTCAAAAATAAATAAATAGAATAATAATTTGGTCACTCAATCCACGACTGTTTGTGGGACTGGTGTGTTTAAGTGACTGCTGTGTGTTGCCCACAAAATATACAGTCAATTCACTTTACAGTGTATTCTGTGAAGCACTTTGAGATGTTGCAATGACGTGATAAGGCGCTATATCAAATGCAAGGATTACTATTATGTAAATTTATAGTTCTGTTTCTAATTATATCCAGCTTGTGTGTTTTTGTTATCATTGAAGGAGTTTATCTGCTTTTGCAGAGTGTCTACCACATATCCACTATTCTGTCTGTGATTGGATCTACGTGAGAGTGTTTGTGTGTCATGGGTGTACACAATAGTGTGGATGTTGTGTATGTAGTTGTGTGTTGGGTGTCTGTGTGTGGGGGGGGGGTAGGGGGAGACTACATTACACTCTTTGAGCCTTGTTTTGTTTTTATTTATCCACAAACAAATACTCTACTGCCATTAAAGGGGAAGGTAACTCTAGGGTAAAATATATTCTGTTAACATTAAAGGATTGAAGCCTGATGCTGTGTCGTACTTAACTCCCAGGCCTTGTACTGCTCGCTCCTGTGACAGCTGAGAATAGTACAAGGGGAAGTTGAGAAGATTTTTTTCCTCTCTGCATCTCTGTTGGGTTGTGAATATGGAATGATTTGCCAGAAGTGGATATTGTAGCAGAGTCAATGGAGGGTGGGGTGCACTTAAAACGGAAATTCCTTTGGCATGGCTGGCGGAGGGGTATCAGTGAGTGCCCGGAAATTCCAGGGTATTTGGGATTGCTTCATTGGAGGAGCAAAACTCTGGTTGTAAATTAATGGATCCAATGATCCCCAATTTTGTGCGAGATTTCTATGGCTTTTGTATAAAGGTGACGTTACAATAGGATGAATGCATGCACACTTCTAATGACATTTCTCTCCCTCCTCCTCCCCCCCCACTTCTCCTATTCTTATTTCCTTCCCTCCTCCCATCCAGACCAAGGCATCCAAGCCCCTACCTCCTTCACCCCCCTCTCCACCCCCGCCACCTCCTGTGACCCTCAAGAACAAGGCTGTGCTGTGCAAGCCCTTGACTCAGAATAAAGGTATCTCCTGCAAGCCTGAAATGAAATCCAAAGGCTGTCAAACGGGTAAGTGAGGTAACTGTTTGTGTCCATTTAGTTTTATTTCCCGCATATAATATCAATCAAGCAGACCCCAAAGCTGGGGAGAGAGACTCAGTCCCGAGACTAGGAGTCCTATAGTGTAGTGATTAGCGTGCTCGCCTCGCAATTAAACGGACCCGGGTTTCACACGCCTCTGTTTACCTAGTAAGTAGGAGCTCAATTGTTAGTCGATTGGCGGATCGCTTTCTGTGGGGTAATAATGCTTTTTTTTAAAAAAAACTTGGCCACTCAATTCATGACTGTTTGTGGGACACTGCTGTGTGCAATTGGCTGCTGTGTTTCGTCAATTCATTTTACATTGTATCCTGTGAAGTGATTTGCGATGTCTCAAGGATGTGATAAGGTGCTATATCAAATGCAAGGATTATTATTATTTTTGTGTTTCAGAGGAAGAGTGGAAGCCCCGGCTGATTGTGGTACCCATCCCTGTACCAGTGTTTATACCAGTGCCTTTGCATATGTATTGTCAAAACACACCAGTGCCTTTATCCGTGCCAATCCCGGTAAGTTCCTCTACTGCCTCAAACTGACCGTCCAGGAAACACTTTTGCAGCTCAAGTGACCAGTGGAAGGTGTCATGTCATGGAATGGGGGGCGTGGGGGAGAAGTAATTTATTATTGGGATGGGAGAGGAAAGATGAAATTATCCAGGTAATGGAAAGATGGTTGGGAGTGAGTGCTGACTGCTGTGAGAGGTTTTGCCCTGATGTAACTAACTGGCTGTTACCTGGTTGATGCGACAGGTCCCCATTCCAATGTTCCTTCCAACCACTCTCGAGAACACCGATAAGATCGTGGAGACCATCGAGGAGCTGAAAGTCAAGATCCCATCCAACCCCTTTGAGGCCGACATACTGGCCATGGCCGAGATGATTGCGGAGGCTGAGGAGATGGAGAAAGCTTCGTCTGATCTCTGTGGTCAGTTTCCCTTTATTTGCCCTTTGAATGTCTGCCATTTGTGCTCTTCCTCTCTCCCGCCCCCCCCCATTGGCCATATAAAGGAGGTTTGTTGGCCAGGACACCGGGAGAGAGAATCTCCCTTCTCTTTTTAAATAGTACCGTGGGATATTTAATGTCCACTTGAACAGGCAGACGGGACCTGGGATCAACGTCTCGTCCAAAAGATGTAACACAAATGTGCTTCAAATCAACAATCAACTTGTTTTATGAGCTCAGTTCCCAAAGAGGGGCTCACACCTTTTTGATGTAGCAAAGCTGATCTCTTCTTTCTCTCTTCACAACAGACCTGGCCAGTAACCAAAGTGCTGATGGCCTGCTGGAGGACTGTGACCTGTTTGGATCTGGCAGAGATGATGTGTTGGCCATGGCAGTCAAAATGGCCAACGTTTTGGATGAGCCAGGGCAGGATTTGGAGGCAGACTTCCCCAAGAGTACGTGGCGGATGCTATTTGTTTTTTTTCCAGTGTCTGAAAGTGAATTTGAAAGTTGTTAATAGCTGCAGCACAAGTAAGAGACAGTTAAGTGGAGAGGTTGAGTGCAATCAGAAACTTCAGCACGGGCTTCCCCTTTTGGAGCTCTCTACCCCAATCCCATTACCAACCCATTCCTCGTTGTGTCTGTGCTGGTGTTATCTTCACCATTGATGCTCTATACTCAACTCATTCCCAATATTCTTCTATCCCTTCATCAAGCGTTTAACAAATTGCCTTTGAGATGCTGTCACTGCACATCCCAATGAATCTTCTTGTAAAGAGGTAGAAACATTTTTAGTTGTGGTGTTTTGACGTTTATGAAATTGAGGACAATGTTTGAGTCTAGGACATTTACGAAACAAAAGCATTTGCTTTTTTCATCAACAATAAAGATCCCGATTTTCGATGGAATATTTAACATTGGAATTCCACTGTTTTCGAGCAGATCCGTTGGAACTCAACTCTGGTGTGGACTTCCTGTTCGACTGTGGCCTGGTGACGACCGACGAAGATCAAGCGGAGCCTGAGATCCCGCGAGCTGTCAGGAGGGTAGGGTCCTTCTCCCCCTGTCTGGGTCTGTGTGGTGAGGGGGTGGGGGGAGAGACGGAGTGGAAACAGGGGGGTGATGAGTGTGTGTGTGTATTTTGAGATCTTTCACGCTGGTAAATACTCCAGTCCTGTGAATAAATCACCCATTTCAATTCTCATAAAGTGACGCCTTTGCTTCATGAATGAACATTGCTGATTTAGGAATTGCCAGATTTTTATGAATGAAGCTGCTCTGGAGAGCATGAATTTGGGTGTAAATGGGGGGAGTGGGGAGAAGGGTGTGTGTGTGTGTATATGCTGGCTAGTTTTCAGCAGGTGGGCCTGATCAGCGAGAGTGCCTTTCAGCCATTCCTCCCTTGCTTTCTGGAACTATAGCGCCCTCGCTCCTTAATTCTCGTCTACAAAATCCAGTTCAAACTAGTCAGCAGCACTTTCGGACCCTTTCTCTTCTCCCCACACCGCCCCGCACCCCACCCCCATCCGAAGCTCCCACTCATTTGGTAAAGTGCTTTGAGACATCTTCCCAACATGAAAGTTAAATGTTTGTCGTTGATTATTTTTCTCTTTTCTCTCCATACACACAAACACACTCCCCCCCCCCCCCCACACACACACACACTATTCACACTCGAACCACTCACACCACAAACTCAACCCGGCGCAGGGTCAGAAGCGAATAGTGCTTTCAGAGAGCTGTTCCCGGGATTCGCTGACCAGCCAGCAGTGCTGCACTGGACTCAACTACTCGTATGGAGTGAACGCCTGGAAGTCCTGGGTCCAGGCCAAGTACGCCAGCGGCGAAACCAACAAAAGCGAGGAGCTGCGATTTGGCCGTAAGTCCTGCCAGGGTTTGGGGGGAGGGGGAGTGGAAAGGGGTTTGAGGTAAAGTTCAAGGGGGATAAAATCTACTGGCGGAGGGGGTAAATCTATTCTTGAAGCATTGCCACTGGCCCCTTTAATGATAGTTCTCTCTTTCTCTCTCTCTTTGTTCTGATGACGGCTGTGGCTGTATCTAATATTCCTCGCCCACCCTCCCGCAGCCAAACCGATGAGGATTAAGGAGGACATCCTGTCCTGTACGGCGGCAGAGCTGAACTACGGGTTGGCCCAGTTTGTGAAAGAGGTTCAGAGACCGAATGGGGAGCACTATGAGCCGGACAGCGTCTACTACCTGTGTCTAGGGATCCAACAGGTGTGTTACCTTTGGTCATCCTCTCACCTCCGACCATTAGCTCGGATGCAACCCCCTCACTGTCCAGCGCCCTGGGACGTCCTCCTGCCATGAAAGTCGCTGTGCAAACGCAATTTGTTGTTGCACACAAACCGTCATTGCGCTGTGTGGGAGGGGGTGGGTGGAGGGGGGGGAAGAGGCGTCACACCCAGGAGATTTTTTGGTGGTGGTGGGGGGGGGGGGGGGGGGAGATTGGGCTGTTAAACCACCGAGAAACCATGTGGTTGAGTGTCCGACCCCCTCCAGTTCTGTAGCCGCTGAAAGGGTTAACGGGCGCTCTCACCACAGGGCCCAGAGTGACCTGTTAGTCGTTAAGGGAGCAGTATCCGCAGGTTCGGTATCACGTGGGGGTATAGCTCAGTGGTAGAGCATTTGACTGCAGATCAAGAGGTCCCTGGTTCAAATCCGGGTGCCCCCTCAGCGCTTTTTTTTTTTTACACACATTTTATTTTATTTTGCTTTATTTTACCGCAAATTATCGTCGTGTTTGGAATTACAATTCGGACAATCGTTTCCCCCGACTGGAGTTTTGGGGGGAATTTTTTTTTTTTAAAAAAAAGAAAATAAACTTTTAAAACGTTGTTCTTTTTCTTTGTCGCCGTCCTTTCCTCAGCGCTGCCGTTGTGCTCCTCCGCCACCGGAGGGAGCTGCAGCCCAACAGGAATATCCTATTCGCTGAGGCACCGATACAATCTCCTCTCGGGCGTTGTGTCAACGCCGGGAATGCTGTCATAATCTTCCCTGTGTCACACACGAGGAATACTATGGCTTATTCGAAATGTTATCCCCATTCAAAATCGATAAATCGTTGGGTCACTTCAATCCACGGCGGTTTGTGGGGAACGCTGCTGTGCGCAATTGGCTGCCGCGTTTCGCCCACAAAGCAGTCAATTCACTGTACAGCGTATCCTGTGAAGCGCTTTGAGACGTTTCAAAGACACGATAAGGCGCTGTTTCAAATGTAAGGATTATTGTTTTTTCAATGCCTAGTATCGTACGCAAGGTTACTATTACTTGATGAGACGGGACAGTTGTTTGTGGGGCAATTTTGAGCATTTTTAAAAGTTACCGTTATTGTCTTGTTTCAGTACCTGCTTGAGAATAACCGAATGATCAACATCTTCACCGACCTTTACTACCTGACCTTTGTGCAGGAGCTGAATAAAATGCTGAGCGGCTGGCAGCCCAGCCTGCTCCCCAACGGTACGTTCCATCGCCCTTCATTCTCTTGCCTGTTTGTGTAAAGAGCAACGATAGTAAGACAGGGTCTAATTTAGGACCAGGATTCAGTCCCGAGGCAAGATTGCTGCTGTTAAATCAATCCCACAGTTTATCCTGTGAAGCACTTTGAGACATCTCAAAAACGTGAAAATACGTTATATCAAATGAAAGGATTTTTTATTATTATTGTTACAGGCACCGTATCAAATACAAGGCTTATTTTCTCCCCTACGGTGTCTCTCTCACAGGTTTGATATTCTCCCGGGTGGAGGAGGAGCATTTGTGGGAGTGTAAACAGCTGGGAGTCTACTCTCCCTTCGTCCTCCTCAACACTCTGATGTTCTTCAACACCAAGTACTTTGGGCTGAGGTCGGTGGAGGAGCACATCCGACTGTCCTTCACCAGTGTGGTGCGTCAGTCCAGGAAGTGCTCCACCTCCCGTGGTTCCATCAAGCTGGTCAGCATCCGTTACTACCTACCCGCTCACTGCAAGAAAGGCCGTGACCAAAGTGAGTCTTTCCCTTCGTCTCTGCTCGCTCTGTGGCTGTTTTGCGGGGACGTCGCTGTACGCAAAACTGGCTGCTGTGTCCGTCTACAGAATGCACAGTCGCTGCGCTTCACAGTAAATCCCGTTAAGATGCTTTGAAACGGCATGATAAGGCACCATATCGAGTGCCAGGATTATTATTTTGGAAGTGCAAATGGGGGTTAGAAGCAAATGATAGTGAGGAGCAGAGTCTCAGAAATTACAGTGAAGATGGCCACTAGGGTGATGTTGTGAGCATTTCTTTTGGTCAGCCGGGTGTCTGACACATGCGGAAACCCATCACCGTGTTTAAGAGTATCCAAACCAAACTGAGAATTCCAAGCATTCCACCTGCACATGGTGATAGATTATTCGAATGGTAGGTGCTCTCTCTCTCTCTCTCTGGCTGGAGGTACTCATCCTGCTTACCTAATTCCGTAAAGTATTAGGTGAAGGTTTTGGGGGATCCCCAGAGCGTGTGTTGACCAGCTAAAACCACATAGCCTGCAAGCATTCATATTAGCTTCTTTACTCTAATCCTATTCTGTTTCTTCCTCCCTTCTCCTGTGTCCTCCTACTTCTTTAAACATCTGTGATGAGCAACTCAGTAGAGTATGAACTTGGAGCAACAAGGAAGCTTTTTGGCTCGAAGCGAGAGGTGTGTGTGTTCAGGTAGGATGAGATTAAATGTCTTCTCGAAGTTGCTCACCCCCGTTGCCTGGTCTCTGTGTCTGCAGACAGCACTGTGGGGAAGAGGAAACGTGAGGAGGATGTTGCTGTGATGGAGCAGAGGGAAAATCGAATGAACCCACTGAGATGTCCTGTGAAATTCTACGAGTTCTACCTCTCCAAATGGTGAGGCCATTCCCTCTGTTCAGCTCAATACGGCGACTTACGAATCTTTTTGAATAAAATGCTTGAGGCGGGAAGGGAACGAGCATTTGTTCCTTTGGCAGCGGATCTCAGCCAAGGCAGTGGTTCGGGCGATTACAGTTATTCCCGTAATGTAGTGGTTAGCACGATGCCTCGCAAGCAAGAGGACCCAGGATCGATTCCCGGGCGGGGCGAAACCTTAGGCAATTGTTCTTACTCCTCTGTTTACCTTGCGGTAAATAGGAATCCGGTTATTAGTCGATTGGTGGATCGCTTTCCCTCAATCTACGACTGTTGCTGGGGCATTACTGTACACAATTGGCTGCCATGTTTCACCATAAAATACAAAGTCAAATATGTATTTTGACGGTGGAGGGTTGGAACTTGGCAGGCAATTTAAAAGCGATATTAAAACATTTCTTTCTTGTGTTTTCAGCCCCGAGAGTATGAAGAGCAGGAACGATGTGTTTTACCTACAGCCTGAGCGATCATGTGTAGCTGAGAGTCCGCTCTGGTACTCGGTTATCCCCATGGACCGCAGTATGTTGGAGAGCATGCTGAACAGGATCCTCGCTGTCAAGGAAATCTACGATGACCACTCGAGGGAGGCGCTGGAGGAGGACGATGTGGAAGGCTGACACCAGGCTAGCGGCGGCCACTGCTCTTGCTCATGTCTGAAACTTTTGGGGTTTGCCCAAGGGGAGGGGTGGGTGGGTGGAGTGGGAGAGGGGGTAGAGGAGGAGGGAAAAGGGGGTCCGTTGTAGGCTGAAATGGGAGGCGGGAGATCAATAAAATGACTACGCACAAAGTTGTGAAATCCTACGGACTCTTTGTCGGAGCAGAAAGCGTTAAAGAAAAGAGTAACGCTGTTGTTTAGAGACAATATCCCTTTAAATATTGCCACATGTATACACCATATTTCCTTCCTTCCCCTGCCTCTCCCCTCACCCCCCCAACCCCGAGAGACGTTTGAAGAAGGGAGGGGGAGAAAATGTGAAATTCCAGTTAGTGAAGGGGTGCGGCAGTTGCTGTGGATAACTTGCTTTCTGATCAGTTCTTTCTCACCCCCACCTTTATTTCCCTCCACCTCCCCCCCACCCCCCGCCCCCTCCAAGCCCCGCAGCAGTCTGTACAATGAAAATACCACTCATTTGTAAAGATCTACCTCCAGAGGATGTTGGGTGGGGAGAATGTGGCGGGGGGTGAAGAGAGGATGCGCAAGTAGCCTTTACGTGATGGGCGGGGGGGGAGGTAGAGGAAGAAGAGGCAGTTTTTATGAATGGGGGGGAGGTGGGGGGGAATTGGCACTGTGAATTTGAGTGTGACAGTCACAGTGAAACGGGGAGGAAGTAGGGGGAGAGAGAGAAATGTGTACCTCAGTGCCCTGTGTGTGTGTGTGGGTGGCTGTTGATGTGTATAAGATAGGTTGATGGTTTCTCAAGTTGTTTCAGTTTTGCTGTACACTGCATTGAATATTTTTCATTTGAGTTTTTAATAACCAAAAAAAAAAGACTTTTTAAAAAAAATGGATGAGGTGGATTATAAATCCTGAGGCTTGAACACTGACTGCTCCTCGTGGGAACAGAAACTGAGAGAGCTTCCTTTCTCCTGGGACATTCTCTGTATTTTCCATTTCTGTTTAAATCGATCCTGAGAGGGAAGGGAAGGGGGAGTCCATCAATGATCCCGTTTTACTGCTGTGGCCACACACACTGCGTCGATCTTCAAAAGTCGTGTTTGGCGGACGGTATCCGTCTGTTACTTGGGGAAGAAACTAACGCGTACAGGGGAGAGGTAGAATGAATGTGTGTGTACGTGAGTGAGTGTGAGTGCTTGTGAGTATGTGAGTGAATGTGCAAAAGAGGTAAGGGTTAAAGGAGTGGACCTGAATGTTACTGACCGAGGTCGAGGTGGTTCATATTCTGTCCTTGTTCTCTGGGGTGGTTGTGTGAGAGAGAGAGAGAGAGAGAAAGGATATTGTCTTCTGTGTATCTGTGTAGTGTATATGATTCTGTCTCTGTGAGCTAGATCAGTCTGAAATTAGTCTGTTCAAACAAAAAAAAATACAAAAATAAATATTTGCGCACAGTATTCGATTGGTGACCTACGGTTTGCCAAGTTTAAACAATACAAAAAGGGTTTTTTTTAGAAAAAAGTGTTTTAAAAAAAAAATGTTAAAAGGTGGTGATGAAAAGCTGGCACAATGGATGGACCTGATGTTACAAAGGACTGGTTTTAAAAGCTGCTTCACCCCCATCACCCATCGTCCCCGTACTGCCCATCCTGACAGCAGTTCAGTTTTAGATCATTTCCAGAAGTGTACTCGTTTTGTTTCTGGATACCACGTGAAAATAAAACGGAAAATGATTTGCGTGTCTCAACCTGGTGGAGAGTTTTTAAAGCTGTTCAATGTGGTCCAGGATTCCACAGCAACTCTTAATTGTGTCTTTTGGGGAGAGTGCAAGTCTCTCTGTGGCACATGTGCAGTGGGGGTGGGGATTGGGGGGGGGGGGGGCAGAGACAATTCAGAATACACCCCACACACACACACACATACCCACAAAACTCTCATCACCCACTGCACCACCCCTCGCACCTGCGACATTATTGGAAAAAAAACAGCCAGAGATAGATCAGAGAATTGCGGGGGTTAAACTGAATAACGATCCATCAGGACTTGTCTGACAGCCACGCCCTGATGTCTCGCTCGTCAAATGCAGAAAGTTAAATACAGTAATTGAATCCTGCCTTTTGTGGTTTTATGTATTTATACCGAGCTGCCTGTTTGTGCAGTGGAAATTAACCCCTCAAAATACACAGCAATTCATTCCTGGCAATGACACTTTGCTCTATATACATACATACATATATATATATTTCTATTTGTGGACTTTATAAATAGTTTTCATTTGCTCCGAGGGTCTGGAGCTGACAGAATGTGCACTGCTGTGAGACCTGCGCTGTAGCTTTCTCAGAAGAATTGGGTGTGGGGGGGGGGGAGAAATCCATTAACTGGGTGGGGGGGCGTTCAGCACCCACTGATCTGGCCCTGGAAAATATAACACAATCAAAGGCACCTATTGTATGGGGTGAGCTTTCCCAAGAGGAGATGCAGCCAGACCGCTCTGCTACAAAAAACAGTCACTACGCTTCAAAAGTTATTACTTGTTGACATGATGTAACGCCCTATAACAATGCGGGTTCCGTTTCCCCCGAGAGGGTTTACTTCTGTACCTCTTTTCTCTGCTGCGCCTCACTCGGGATTGTTAACCCGCTGTGTACGGCCCCAAACCCCTGTCCGTCCAGCGCCTTGGGACGTCGTCCCCACGCGAAGGGCTCCGGGTAACTGTCCTTGTTGTTGAACGGTCGGGTGATCGAGGAAACATGGTCCACCGGTCTGTCCTCCGCTTAAGAGTCAATATGCGGGCGGGCTCTCCCTGCCCACCGTTGTAACCTTTCCCACGGCCTCAGATGGCCAGATCACCCGAGTGGGCGTGTTTGCTCTGTTTGCTGCCCTCGCTGACGCCGCAGGGATCCGCGGTGGGCTCCGGGCGCCTCTCGTCCAGTCTCTCCGTCGCGTAATTGTCCCGGTTTTGCCGGGCGGCCACCGCTTTGCCGCCGTAAGGGTGGCAGAGGGAGCCCGAATCAGTCGGGGGGTCGAGGCTGAACCTGGAATCCCCCTTGTACAGCTGCGGCCCCCTGTGACTGGCGAAGTAGGGGTAGGCGGGGGCGCAAGGAGCGATCTTCTCCACCGAACTTCTGGCCCTGCGCTCGCTCTCCAGGGACGCGGCAGCCTGTCTCGCCAGCACCCGCTCCCTGCAAGCCTTGTAGCCCAGGTGACACATTTCAATCAGGTTGAGGAGCAGGGACAGGCAGGCCATGGAGAGCATGAAGAGGATGAAGATGGTCTTCTCTGTCGGTCGAGATATGTAACAGTCCACAGTGTTGCCGCACGGCCAGTGGTTGCATTTGTAGAGAGGTTTGAGCTCAAAGCCGTACAGGTAATACTGACCCAAGATGAACCCCACTTCGAACAGGGTCTTGAAGATGATGTGGAGGATGTAGGTCCTCAAGAGCGCCCCTTGCAGTCTGAGCTTGCCCCGCTCGTCCTGGAGGGTGAGGTTAGGGGTCTTGACGTTCTGCCCGGTTGGCCCCTGGCTCTCCCTCACGCTCTCCCTCAGACGCCTCTTCTCCTCCTGGCGCAGGATGTGCAGGATGTGTCCCAGGTAGACCAAGGTTGGGGTGGACACGAAGACGATCTGCAGGACCCAGAAACGGATGTGGGAGATGGGGAAAGTCCTGTCGTAGCAGACATTCTGGCAGCCCGGCTGCTTGGTGTTGCAGGTGAAGAAGCTTTGCTCGTCCCCCCACACCTTCTCGGTGGCCGCCCCCAACACCAGGATACGGAAAATGAACAGCGTCGTCAGCCACACCTTCCCCACCACCGTCGAGTGTTCCTGGGCGCTGTCCAGCAGCTTCTCCAACAAGTTCCAGTCTCCCATATTTCCCGGCTTTTAACCTGTCGAGGAAAATAATAATAATAATCTTTGCATTCGAGACAGTGCCGTATCACGTCTTCAAGACGTCTCAAAGCGCTTCACAGAATATACTGTAAAGTGAATTGACTATATTTTGTGGGCAAAACGCAGCAGCCAATTGCGCACAGCAGCGTCCCACAAACAGCCGTGGATTAAGTGAAATGATTATTACCCCCAGAAAAGCGATCCACCAATCGACTAACAACCGGGTTCCTACTTACTGTTGGGTAAACAGAGGCGTGCGGAGTAAGGAAACCTGCCCTAACCACTACGCTACAGGACTCCTTCAGCAACACAGTGATGGGTTTCTGAGTGTGGCTGACCAAGACCAAGAGAGGAGAGAAAAAACAGCTGAAAGGTTAGTTGGCACTTTAACCAAAATTGTGGAAAAAAATGTATGTTTCAAAATAAAAGCGTGAATGCGGTCAGGGTAATCGGAGTTGGAGGACAGCTGCCGGATAGTTAGTGCCTGAGGTGCAGAGAGATAAGAGGTCTTACCCTGAACAGAACCTGAGCAAAATCCATTCCAGGGACAATCAGAGCAAGCGATCTCGAGTGATTGGGAACAGAGACCCAGTCGTGAGGGGCTTAAGCGAGCTGAAAGCATTCACTGCGGATTCCCGCAACACGTTTTGGTTAAGCTCAGATAAGTCACTCACGTATCGAAGCTGACATGTCGTGAAATGGCTTTGTATCGACAATGCAATGTTACCCTGAGCCATAGGGGATTCTGCGCTGCTCTGCTCTCCTGATGGGCACAGCAGTGTCTCACAAACAGTCATGGATTGAGTGATCCCCAATTTTTTGGGGGGAGGGCTTACTATTCCCGGAAAGCAATCCGCCAATCGACCAACAACCGGGTTCCTGCTTACTGCTAGGTAAACAGAGGCGTGTGGAGAAAGGAAAGTTGCCTAAGGTTTTGCGTCTACAAAACTGCTTCTTGATAAGAAAGGACGGCAATTAGAGCCACACGTCTGCGAAGCGAGAGATCAGTCACTAACTGGAGAAAGCGCGGCCCTCGGTGATCGATTTACAACAAAGGAAGGATTATGTGGTTGGAATCACAAAGGCCAACATGACTCGGTCACAATGTTCCGCTGCCCTCGTTCTGCCTTCGAGCGTCGCACAGACACAACATTCATCGCCTCCCGGGCACCCTGTGCACCCCTCCTGTTAACAACATCTCCCTTCATGTCACGTGAACCGTCACCCAGGCCACATGACACTGAGAAGGAATTGATTACTCCTGACCAGCTCCACCAAGGCTTCCGAGGCTAAGTCGCCTCGTCAGTACAATGCAAGAAAGTAAGAAACTGCTTACATTTCGTTACATTTCCAATCCCCAAATACTCCCCCCCTCCCCCCCACCCCTCCCACACCCCCAAAAGAAACAAATAATTTCTCACATATACAATGGGATATTTCAGGTGGACGTTAAAGATTCCGGCGATGTTAATGGAAAGGAGAAGAGAGTTTCTCACAATATCCTGGATCAACAATCCGTCCAAGATATACTGTCTGTTCGCTTGCGGATGCCATTGGATGAGATAAAATGAAGATGCTGGGAGAAATAAGCGTGAAGCCAGGAAAGTCTGGAGGTTCTGACGGAAGGTGTGGACTCCCAGCAATGTTAGGGGCTGCTCTAGTCTGGTCTTAGACCCACAACAAGAAGGCACGGGTTCAATGTTAAAAAGCCTGGAGCTGATAGAAAAATTGATTCTCCCCTGTGAGCAGTGAACCAACTCCCAAGGGAAACAGCCAATTCTGCCCAAAGTCACTCTTTCTGAATGAACTGAGTAAGGATTTGGCTTGGACCATCTTGTTTACCTCTCCAGCTGGAGGAGGAAGGGGTGGAGGGAGGGTGGGGGGTGGGGGTATGGGGAGAGCCAAGGGAGGAATTGCCTGTCAGAAGTAAGTCGGAAACGGAAAAGCAAAAGGTCCAAAATAGTTTCAAATAAACTTTAAAAATAAGCACAATGGGACCTATGGTGGATGTGAAAGATGCCTCCACATTGTCCGTGAAAAGAGGGAAATGTCGTGAGGCGGACAATAAGGCAGATGGACAATAAATGGAACTCTGCCCTGTTTGCCTGTCGTATGTTGCCTCTTTCCCTGCCTCTGGCCGGTGGATCGAGGTTCAGACAGTTTCCTTTCCAGCCGCTCTTCAGCACAATGACCAGGAAGGGAAGTTTCCAGCTTGTGTCCTGGGGGACACATGAGAATATCAGCCCTGAGACAATGGAGAGAATCAGCCACTCCAACAGCAGAGCTAAACATAGGAACAGGGAGAGGCCATTCAGCCCCTCGAGCCAGTTCTGCCATTCTACAAGATCATGGCTGATCTGTACCTCAACCCCAGTTACCGATAAGAACATAAGAATTTACTGATAAGTACAAAGGAAGACCAAGGTCCATCTAGTTCGTCTTCCACCATCCTGGCAGTTGCTTGACATGTCAAGACTGGGGGTTATTAATGCATAATAATAATAATCCTCGCATTTGATAGAGCGCCTTATCACGTTGTTGTTATATCGCTAAGCGCTTCATAGTATATACTGTAAAATGGAGTGACTGTATTTTTGTGGGCGAAACGCAGCAGCCAGTTGCACAAGGCAATGTCCCACAAACAGTCGTGTGGAGTGAGTGACCAGTTTTTCTCTGAGGGGTTGTTGACCAGGACACCAGGAAGAGAGCCAGAGAAACTCCCTACTTCATTATTTTTGTCTTGGGACTGACAGATAGGACGGTTGTTTGAGGTCCTGAGTGTCGCTGTGTTTCTGATTCATTTCCCAGTCAGGCAGTGAGATTAGCATCTCCTCACAATTGCCATCATCAGCCCCCTTCAGCCCTGCTCTGAACTCCGTTTTGAGAGCGTTTATTGTTCTGCAAAATGGTTCATAGTAAACGTTAAAAAATGAGTCACGTTACTGCAAAGCACTGCTCGCATTTGCTGTCGCCCAGCTCTCCTGTTCGCCCCCACCAACGCCTCCTGTCCTGAGCGACCGCCCAACAGTCAGACATCAAGTCCTTAACTTCCTTCAACTGAACGTCAAATATAAACCACCCTATCCTGCTCGGCTCATACCAGGAACTGCCAACCATCGGCTCTGAATCTATCGACCTCATTCATTTTGTGTGAGCCTCAGCTCTCTCTCCCTCGCTGTGACCAAATCCACATTGGCCCCGTTGCCTCACTCCAGGCAAGGTCAAAGTGGAAGGTCTTCAGACGGACCTTGAAAGAGGCAATGGAGGTTAAGGGGGTCTGGGATGGAGGTCCACAGGGTGGGGGAAGGCCCCTGGGTGGGTGACGTGGAGCTGGTCAGTGCCCACTGAGCAGAGGGAGTGGACAGATTGGTAGCATTTTAGTGGGTCGCAGAGGAAACCGAGGCTCTCAAACTCATCTAAATACAAGTTCTCTGATAGAGCCAGACCGTCCCCCTCCCCCCACATCCCCCCCCCCCATCTAAACTCCACGTCGCCGTGAAATGACCCTTTAAGATCATTAACCATTTATAAAATATCCCCAACAAAGTGTGTGTAAAGTGTGTGACCACAGCCTGTACCAGATATCACAGAGCAACAAAGTTAATGGGAGAGACGGAAGACGACAGCAATAACCTGGAGATCACATCAACCACAAGAGATCAGAGAGAAGCCAACACCAACCTCTTCACTCCTTCACACATTTCTTTGCCTTCCGAACCCTCGCCACGATGTTGGGGGCAATCTGCCAGACATTTCTCCAAAGTATCACCACGCCACTTGTCTTGAACTTAGGAAAATAAAGTTATGAGTTTCTTTGCTTTCCCAAAACACAAACATACATGGATACACACACACAAGAGATACACACACACACGGATACACACACACATACAGATCCATGCACTTAAATACACTCATGCGCTCAAACGTACACACTCCTCCAGTCCAAACACTGACCATTGAGTGTTGACCAATTTAGTACAATCTCTAGTTCATCTGATCTGGCGTCTTAATTTAGAGTCTGGCTTTTAAAGACACACACATACATACTTACACAGACATACAGATACACGCACATACATATATACATACAGACATATACACAGAGACACACACAAGTGCCAATATAGAGGCACAGACACACATACACAGTCAGAGAGAGAGACATCCACACACACACACACAAATACACATACACAGACAGACATCCACACAACCGCACACGCACACATACACATACAGAGACACACACACCCACACACACATACACACAAGTACCAATACAGACCTGGTCCCAGCTGTTTGGGTCGGTTTGTTTGAGTCTTTGAAACCGAGTCTTTCGACGGCAAGTTGTGCGTGTGTTGGGGGGGGGATTGCGAGTGACAGTGGCACCAGCCAATGGCTGTAAATCGAGCCGGGGGTCGGGAACTTTTCTAAATATAACCAGAGTCTGTGTTACTGATGGGGAGGGATTTGTGCTGTGGTATCAGCCCGTCAGCCTGTCAGTCGGTCAGTCAATCAATGTCTGGGCTGGAATGTGCTCTAGAGACTGACCCATGGGGCTTCTGTCTGTGTGTCTCTGGCTTTGTGTGTGTCTTTCTTTCCCCCTCTCCCCCCAACTCAGAAGTAGGGTGAAGTAGGAGGGTGGTGGGGGGGTGGGGGGGGAGGTTGGTCTCTGCGTCTGTGTGTGTGTGTGTGTGTATAATAAGAATAAGAATACTCCTTACATTTGATATAGTGCCTTATCACGTCTTCGAGACGTCTCAAAGCACATTGACTCTCAGAGTGTACACACCAGTCTGGGTTTGTGGGACACCTCAATCCCCTTTGTTGGAGGCCAGCGAGCGCTCCTGTCCTTTGCTCGGATTGTTTGCTTAGTCGACTCGATTGTCATTTGGAGGAATTCTCAGGGTCTATTTCTGTCTTTAGTTGGGGTCCAGCACATTCCAGTGTATTCCTCTTAAACAGGGAATATCTTACCCACAGAGATCTTAAAGGGACCACGTTCCTCATGTTTCTCGACAGCTTGGGCTCAGCTGGAGTCGTGTGAGGTGTTTGTCTGGGTCCTATTTGCACTCGATAAAGTCACGCTTTCAAAAGGTTTTTCTTACAACTGGAATAAATGAATGGACACAGAATACTTTTGTTCACCTAGAATAGTAAAAGAACAGCAACAACAGCAACTTGCATTTTATATACAGTGCCTCAAATGTCTCAAAGCATTTTACAGAGATAGAACTGGAGACGGGGTAGAGGTGAGTGTGTGAGTGGGGTGGGGTGGGGGGTGGGTGGGGGGGTACGATGGAGATTACTAAAGGTGCAGTCATTGATAAGAAATGTATATAACTTACCTACGTATAGTGAAAAGCAAAAAAAAAGGGAGTTTTCAGGAGAGGAGAAGAAAAATGTGTTTTATGCATGTTAAAAAAATACTTTTTATTTTTAAAGTGAATCTGTAATTTCACTGAAAGAGTCTCAGGAAAGTCTCAAAGTCAACTTTATTCGACTTAGTTCCGCACAGATATTACACAGTTTCCAGCCAAACAATATTCAAGTAGCATCTGAATAAAACTATTTTACTTGCATTGAATCGAAGTTCTACCTTTCTCTCTCTCTCTCACACACAGACACATCTCTAGATTACTGCTTGTTACACACTTGTTCACACGAGCACGCTGAGTTTACTCGATTAATAGTTAGCAACAAAATGTCACGGAATTTTGAAATTAGTGAATGTAGAGAGACAGCACCACGTGGCGGGTGGAGATTTAGGATCTAACTTTGGTTTATCTTAAAGGGTTTCTGCGAGGAGATTTGAACTCACATGAGCGCGAGGTCACATAAAAAAACACTTAAGTAATTGAGAGTTGATGTACGTTTTCAGCTCTGCTTCAAAGAAGCAGGGAATTGGGATGAGAGAAGATGGCTCCTATAGGGAAAAGCTGTCACCAGCATAGGTTCAAAGGCCCAAATGGCCTCCTTCAGTCTGTAATTTCTATCTATTTACTCTTTCCTTTCGCTCAGCAGTAGGCAAATTCAAGTAATGGGAGAGGCCACATATCTATAATAATCCTTGTATTTGATATAATGCCTTGTCAAGTCTTCCGGACGGCTCAAAGCGCTTCACAGGATACACTGTAAAGTGAATTGACTCGGGTCCTCTCGCTTGCGAGGCGAGTGCTCTAACCAATACGCTACAGGACTCCACAATACATTACAGCACTCCACGGATGCAAGCTTTGAAACTTGGACACACACACACACACAAACACACGCGCACACACGCACAGACACACAAAATCCAATCAACATGAACAACTGGGCAAGATAAAACAGATAAAACTCAACCGATGGTTTAACCCGACTCCCAGTGCCAGTTAACCTTTTGTCACTTGCTGCGATTTACTGTTGTTGCTCGCGCTCCCACAGAACTGAACCATTAAACCATTAATTTCAAAAGTTTATTCTCTCCAGTGACAACACCAGAACCGACCACGACTCAAAAAAGTTTTAACAAAACTTGGTGAAGGACCAAATTCGTCCTCAAACCATCAAACTCAAACTTTTAATCCAAACCGATTTACTGAAAAATGACAGTGCGATTTAATAATAATCCTCGCATTTGATACAGCGCCTCATCACATCTTCAAGACGTCTCAAAGCGCTTAACAAGATATACTGTAAAGTGAATTGACTGTATTTTGTGGGCGATTTAATTAATGATTTGTTGCTGTCACATGAACGAATCCTGCCAGAAAGGAGGTGATGTGGGTGGGGAATGAGGAGGGTGTTGATGGGGGTCGTACGTCAATTAGAGATGGAGAAAGCCTCAGGGTCACTCTATAGAGGAGGAAGAGATGGGACTTGTAGTGTCCAATAGAAGAAGTCATGAAGAAGACATCTTGGGTGTTACCAGATTCAGTCTAGTTCTCCAGGAACCTCCATCAGAAGAAGCTATGAGGACAACTATTAGTTGACTGAATGCCTCGGGTGTCGATTCAAGGAATCTGATGTCCAAATCCGTTGGTTATTGATAATGGAGGCGTTTGATGCCAATCAGAGAAACAGTCTATGGCTGATGGGGAAAATCTTGAGCACTGACCTGGGTAGTGAGTCAGAGGAACCTGAATTGTCTGATGAGAAACAAGGAGTGTTGACTTTCAACGTCAACCCAAGATACTTTCAAGCGTCTCACAGAAGAAACCCTTGTGATGTTGACAAGAGGCCCTGGGAGTGGTTGGGAGGTGAGTCTGGAGTTGGTGAGGGGCAATGCTGAGCTGCCTTTGTGAATCCTGGCGTTCCCATCACCATCAATCCTGCAGCTTTGGAGGAGTCTTCAGGCATCTGCAATAGTAGGACACTTTATCTTTTTTTGGAGGCTAGTATTGTGTGGTTGGGTAGAGATTAGAGTTTGTAGCGCAGGATTCGGCGGTGTTAAATTCTCTTTTACTGGTTTCGGTAGTTTAGAGTTTGGTAGTGAAGGGATGACAGAACTATTTAGAACAGTCGCGGGCCGCCAGTAATTACTGTCGCATGTTGTGTGTAGTGACTCTGTATTTCTAGGCAAACACGGCAGCTCATTTATACGCAACAAGCATCTAAAAAACAGACATGAGGTGAAGCCACCAGTTTAACAGGAAGATTGTTGGCCAGGACACTGAGAGAAACTTCCTTCTCTTTTCCATCTGAACCAGCAGTCAGGGCCTTGGTTTAACATTTCATGCAAAGGACAGTACCTTCGATAATGCAGCAAGCTCCCCCCGAGCACTTCATTGGAGCATCAGCCTAGATGAACATTGAGGTATGTTTAGACACTGCACAGCGAACACAGTATACACTGGGCGTGTGGTACATCCAGGCATCGAGGCTCCTGGTGTCTCAGTAACCTTTGGAAAGGCTTGGCAGAGAGGCGGTGGACTTCCTGCGCTGCGCAGTTTGGTGACATGGTTGGTGACCTGCTGACCCTAGAGCACTGACCAGCAGCCGTGCTGTATTACCTCTCATTATAACCCGGGGTCTGTGTTTATGGACCTAAACGCGATATACCAGGGGTCTGACTGTATTCAGCATCCACCACAAAGAGACAGGTCATTCAAGATGTACCGAGCGCCAATCAGACCGACTCCCTGTTATTTGGGGAGATAATAATTTAGTTAACGTTAAGCCGGAGTTTCTCGGGCGATGATAAATCAGCACAGACGCCCAGCCAGCACCGGGGCCTCGCACGATCATTTAAAAAAATTGCAATCGTTTATTTTTTTTTCAATTTTCCAAATACAACATCGAAGAGTCAACAGTCAACAACCCCCAACTTTAGGTGGGATGGGATAGGGTGGGATTCGATGGGGTGTGATGGGATAGGGTCAGGCGGGATAGGATGGGATAGGTTGGGGTGGGATAGGGAGGGGTGGGATTCGATGGGGTGGGATACGATGGGGTGAGGTGGAATAGGGTGGTGAGGGGTGGGATAGGGTGGGGTGGGTGAGGAGAGGCTAAGGTTTGAGTGTAAGAGTCTCGTAAAGAGTCAGCAGGTAATGACACCTTATCACTTACAGACGTACATATCTAAAAGTCAATCAATACCTTTAAAACAGACAATGACAAACGTACATGCAGATACTCGAATGAACAGAGATATGGAGAGTTGGGAAGGTAAGATGCAGGGACTAAAGTCAAAAGCAGCTCCTCCCCCCCCCCACCTCGACCCCCAACTTCCCCCATCGTTGGGTATTCAGTGACGGAACCAAAGTGAGATGCCCTCGATGTTAAACACATTCGAGGGAGAGGGGGAATGGGGGATGGACATGGAGCAGCAACCTTGAGCTAGTGAAGGACAAGTGAGGTCAAGAACTCAGTCATATATGTGCTCAGTTGTGGTATAAACAGGAACCTCCACTGTCTGAGGATCTAAACATCTCCCATTTAGGGTGTAACACAGTCTGTCAAAAATCCATCCCAGCACAGGAGGCCGCCTGACATTACAGCTCATTGTGATGTCGAATTAAATTATTTTTTCCAATGCAAAAGTCTAAAGTTCACTTCACTTGGATGTGAAAGGGCAGCCATGAGGGATCGTGGTCTCCCAAGCCTCCATTCCTCTCTTCAGACACACAAAAACACGCTATAAACAGGACAACGAGGGGTTAAAGCGTCAATGAAGAATGCGTGCGGATTGTGAGCCAGATATTTCTGCATGTGAATACTATAGTAATACTAACAACTCTTTAGTGGGAATACCATTCGGTCTTCCAAATTTCCTGGAACAAAAATATTCCTGTTTTCTCCTTGTTTCCTCTGCCAAGCAAATCCACACAGCACTGCTGCATAATAATTATAATGACAATCCTCGCATTTGATACAGCACCTTATCCCGCGCTCGGGTACGTCTCAAAGCGCTTCACAGAATATACTGTAAAGTGAATTGACTGTGTATTTTGTGGGCAAAATGCAGAGCCAATTGCACACAGCAGCGTCCCACAGACAGTCGTGGATTAAGTGACCAAATTTTATTTTGTGAAGGGATTATTACCCATGGAAAGCGATCCGCCAATCAACTAACATCCGGGTTCCTACTTACTGCTACGTAAACAGAGGCGTGTGGAGTAAGGAAACTTGTCTAAGGTTCTGCCCCGCCCAGGAATCAAACCCGGGTCCTCTCGCTTGTGAGGCGAGTGCTCTAACCACTGAGTTGTTGATAAGTTGTTATGCAACCGAGGCACATGGTGAGTATAACACGCGTGAAGCCTCTGAAATTGTCCAAAGACTTTAGTGGAGACATTCCATCAGGCTCTGGCTTCTTCTATATTCTGAACTGGCCTGTGAATGTGTGTCAGCATATCTGGCTTGCAATCCAAAATCCAAGCCTCCCTCTCTCCCTCCCTCCATCACATTTTCCCATTTGAGCAACGCTGGTCAACAGTTTACCTGCTATTCTCCATTTATAGCTAATTAGCATCCAGTTGACCAAAGAGGCATGGCAGTGGTTTAGTTAGTTAAGCAGAGATTTTTCTAAAAAAATACGATATAGGAAACAAAGGAAGAATTTGTTTTACACACAGAGGGTTATGAGGATGTGTAAAAAGTGGTTGGGGAGAAAAAAGTCAGGGAACTAACAAGTCAGCTCTTACAGAGAGCCAATGAGTCCAATGGCCCTCCTTCAGTGCTAAAATAATTCTATAATGCTCTACAATTCTATATTATCCCATTTTCTTCTCAGTTAAATGCCAGGAAACCAATGCCATAGCCCAGTCACTCTTCTGGAGGGTGGGAGTAAGTGGAGGGGGGAAGAAAGGTCTGCAAACCAAGAAGGCGTTCAAGTAACTCCACACTCACACACCTTGAAGTCACAGGTGTACGTACAAGCTGAGGCGACAAACTAGACAACACAACATACAACAACAACAACAACAACAGTCTGTTCCCCACCGTCTACCTTCCTACGTGAAATCAGGAAATATATGGCGGTAAAGCTTTCAGTCACAGTGTGGTAGCAAATGTTCCCCTGTTCCTTCTCCCCCTAGATTTTTTGGGGGTTCGGTCAATTTTCAATCCCAAAATTTAATTTGGTTTAATTTCGGTTCATAAACAAACTAACGGAGGTTTACGCAGTGGCGGTGGGGGAGGGCAATCCGTACATTTTAAAACCCCAAACTATTGGGACAGATTCCGCCCCCACCCCCACAAAGAAGTAAACACTGATGTCTATGGGTGTGTTTGTTATGGAGTTACACTGAAGACCGTTACAACACGAGTGGTGGGTAAACAGTCCTTGTCCCAGTGAGCTGCATGTCACAGTGAAACTGGTAAAAGAGCAGAGCGCGAGGTGATTAAGGCAGGTTTGGATCTGGGGGATGTGACTGAGCTTATATTTCTTTTCGACCGTGCCTTCGACCACCCTCCTACCCCTACCCTCCCTCCCTCCTGATCCTGACTCCCAGCTCGGGTCCGAATCACTGACTGTCCAGCGCCTTGGGAAGTCCTCCCGATCTGGAGGGGAGCTGCGTGATGTAAATGTTGTTGTTGTTGTTTTACACACACAATAGTCAGAGCAAAGTGGAGGTGGAGCCATTTAAGTTGAACGGGTCCAATAGGAACAGGCAAGGGCTTGCTTACACAATGGGGTGGGTGGGGAGCGAGTGGGTGGTGGGGGGGGGTTGGGGGAGGGTGGAGGGGAAGGGGGTGGGGGAGGAGGATGGGGGCACTGTCCCTTTAATATCAAGAGGTTCTGCACATATTTTGGTCAATGGCATCTTTCTTAATACCGTTCATTCTGTGGTTTTTCAGATAAGTGGCGCTGTGATCGGACAGAAAATCGTTTATGTCGCTGGCCTTGAACTGTGCAAACTTACGTCCGTAAAAGGTACTTTTGCCCGGCCGAGGCTCGTCTTTCTGAAACTGTCTCAGACAAGCCTTGAAGATCAGGTAGCCCGCCTCGGCGATGTTGAGCAGCACACAAACACCGGACACCACCAGCATGAAGATGGTGAAGATGGTCTTCTCGGTGGGTCTGGACACGAAGCAGTCCACGGTGTTGGGGCACGGCGGAGCGTCGCACTTGACCAAGCGGATCATCCTGAAGCCGGGGTAGATGAGATAGAATATGTAGAGGAACGCCGCCTCGAAGATGACCCTGAAGATCACGCTGATCACGTACGTCCACCACAAGGAGCCTGTGATGTGCACCTTCCTCCTCGCCAAGTGCTCGATGTCCTTCTCGCCCACAGACTGACCCGACAGCTGCTTGAGCCGAAAGAGCTTCTTGTCCACATGGTGTTTGTGAGCCACATGCATGGCCACCAGTAGGGCGGGCGTGGACACCATGATCAGCTGCAGGGACCACAGCCTGACGTGGGAGATGGGGAAGAACTGGTCGTAGCAGACACTGTTGCAGCCCGGCTGTTGGGTGTTGCACGTGAAGCCCGTCTTCTCGTCTCCCCAGACGCTTTCCGCAGCCACCACCAGCACCATGATCCTGAAGATGAACAGCACAGAGAGCCAGATCCTGCCGATGCCAGTGGAGTGCCTGTTCACCCCGATCAGAACCGCATAGAAGCCCTGCCAGTTCATCTCCCCTCGAAGTCTGGAAGGAACGCCAACAGCTAGAAATCAAGTCTCTCCGTCTCTCGGTTCTTCCGTGTCAGCATCAACCCAGCGCCTTTTTCTGACTGCCGATCATATGGCCTGCGACGTTCTACATATAACATCCCCACCACAAGGATTCCTTTTATTTCGCTAACAAAACAGTATTCAGTTCCGACCCCTTCATGCCCACCTACACCAGATAAAGGAATCTGTGTACTGAAGTCACAGAAGCAGCATGCGCCCATTATCCATTGTTTTCTCTCTCTCTCTCTCTAACCCACGTTCCCCTTTCTCCACCGCATGAATGTACCGTGTTTTGAGGGAAATGAACACTCTAATTAAACAATTTCTCCTCCTTCTTTCTCCCCCCACCCGCCACCCTCCCCCAATCCTATTCCTTATCCAATGCTTCTGGTAATTGCATTCTTCGTTTGCGAGCAATCCCAGGAGAACCAAAGTTTTCTTGAACACATTTCGAACTTCTAAGACAAAAAAAAAAGTACACACACACACACACACGCGTATATATAAAATGAATAATTTTTTTGAATATCTTCTCATTTTGTTCAGCTGCTCGGCACAAAATCAAATCTCCTGCGGGGGTCAGAACACAGTTTTTGCGCTTGTGGAATAAAATAAATAAAAATTGCAAAGATGAAAGTGGTGGATCGGGCGGCAGTGGAGAAAGGGACCTTCCCCACAACACACCTCGCGATTGTGTCCTTTCACTCACAACCGTGGAACCCAAGGAAGAAAATTCAGCCGTTTAATATTTAAGATGATTTAAGAATTTGCCTGCAAACTCAGTCACTATAATAATAATAATCCTTCCATTTGACATAGCACCTTGAGTGATAAATACTTCACAGAATATACTGTACAGTGGGTTGACTGTGTATTTTGTGGGCGAAACATGGCAGCCAATTGCACACAGTCGTGTCCCACAGATAGTCGTGGGTTGAGTGACCAAAAGGGGCTTCGGTTTAACGTGTCATTTGAAGGATGGCACCTCCGACAATGCAGTGCTCCCCCACAGCACTGCACTGGAGTGTTTAGTCTAGATGATGAGTACAAAGACTCAATGTGGGTCTTGAACCCACAACCTTCTGACTCAGCGGTGAGAATGATCACAGTACTAACTGAGTTAAGCTGATACCTCACTGAAATTGGCCGTCAGATACTGATAACCAAGACTCTGCTCGTCCCCAAATATTCAGCCACTAACACTTGACAGTGAATATCTGTGGAGCCTTTGATGTTATAGGCGCGATGATCAAGGATCATCATAAGGAGAGCATTATGTGAGTGAGCTCAGTGCTTGCAGCGATGGTAAACACTCGGCATGTGATGTGAGTGTGAGAGGTCGTTTTGTTTGCCTGTGGGAAGCTGTGCTCCCATTTGATGCATTTAAAATCTTCCTCAGAGTCGCCTTCAGTTGCTGCCGATGTGGGAATGTGATGGTGGGGAGGGACGGCGGCGAGGCAGAAAATATCATTCCAACACATTGTGTACAAGTCAGGCTACAGACATAGCCAAACGCTAAGGTATAATGATAATAACAATCCTGGGATTTGATATAGCACGTTATCACATCGTTGAGATGTCTCAAAGCGCTTCACAGGATATACTGTATTTATATTTTCTTTATTAAAGTGGATCGCCCACAAAATACCAGTCAATTCACTTTACAGCATATCTTGTGAAGCGCTTTGAGACGTCTCAACAACGTGATAAGGCGCTGTATCAAATGCCAGGATTATTATTATTATATAAGAAAGTGCTGATGCTGTAATGTGGGGATGGCTGGAGAGGTTCTCTGGGAGCGTGAGACGAACCCTTTTTTTGGTCTGAACCTCAATCGTGCAAACTGAATTATTTTCATTAAAACAGATCGTTGCTTAACGCCTTCCGTTCCACCACAGGACCCCCCCGCAATGTTGACCTTTCACCGTCACCCGTCGGCAGCAGAAGGGCGCGGTTGACGAGAACCTGAGTCACTGCGACCGTCAAAGGTCTTGCGTGGGAGGCCGCAGAAGATGCCCCGATGGGGCGGTCTCTCACTCGCTGCCGTCAATGCAACGACTGACGTCAAGGCCGAGCGAGGACTGTGATGCTGAATGTCATCCTCTATTCACTTTGCCAAGTTGCGTCGCGAGTGGTGGCCACAGAGCGTTGGGAGACACTGTTGCTATTGTCAGGAAACACACCTACACACACTCTCTGTCGTCGGTCCCAGCCCTTGCTGGAAAGTTCAAGACACAGTCTTGTGGCTCACTCACTGCTGCTCTGGTGTATCAACAGCAAAGGGCAGCTCTACACACACACACACACACACACCTCCCAGCCAACAGCTCTGTTGTGGTCAACAGTATAAATACAAGTTCCATGCCACTGCGAAGGTTATAATAATAATAATCCTCGCATTTGATACGGCGCCTTCTCACTTGGTTGAGACGTCTCAAAGCGCTTCACAGGATATACTGTAAAATATATATTGTAATATTTAGATTTAACAATACACTGCAAGCTAAATACAGAGCTGCACCCTGTGCTCTGTACTGCGCTCCAGGCTCCAGTTTGTGATATTAAGAGTGTAGGAGGCACGGAGAGTGATTTTCACAAAGCCACCAAACCGGCGTTCGGTAATTTGTCCGTCCTGAACCCCAACGGGATTCTTCTCAGAGGTTACCAGAGATTGCTCGTTGGATTATACCGTATAAAAATCCTGATGTAGGGAATCAGGTTCTTTTTTGGCCCGGGTTCAAGCCGGTGGATGTGCAATAGGCACACGAAGCCACAAGGCGGCATTCAATGTCACCGTCCATGTCGCCCCCTCTCACCCTTCACCCAGAACGGGGTCTTACTGGCGGTTTTACTGCAGCTGGAGCCCGGTCTGCGAAGGGGAAACTCGTCTCCGAGCGTCCGATGCATCCAGCGGCGGAAGAATGTGACTCATTCTATGGCGTATTGATCAGAAAGATTGCAACTAGTAAATAAATAATTAGGTCAGTGTCACCTGGCTCAGTATTGGGGGGAGGGGGGGGCTCTCGTCTCCGAGTCAAAGGTTGTGGTTTCATGTCCCACAATCAGGACTTTGAGATCCTAGTCTAGGCTGACGTTACAGCACAGGGGCTGGGGCTACATTTATGGAGGTGTCATCCTTCACCTGCCCGTCCTTCAGATGAGACGTTAAACCGATGCCCCGTCTGTGCCTGTTCAGGTGAACGATAAAGATTCCGTGGGCGCTATTCGAAAAGACAAGGGAGTTTCTCTCTCTCTCTCCCAGTTTCCTGGCCAACAATCCCCCCAAATAAAATTGGTCGCTCGCTCCACGGCTGTTCGTGGAACAAATGCACACGGTCGCTCCTGTGAAGCGCTTTGAGAAGTCCTTCCAACGTGATAAGGCGCTGTACCAAATGCAAGGATTATTATTAACATACAGTCACTAGACTGTACCCTAAATCCTGTAAAGCGTTTTGAGACGTTTGGATGTCTACTTCCCACCCCCTATGTTTTGGAAAATGTCACACAGAAGAATTCCGAATCCCGAAATTCCACCCAGTGTCAGTCTGTGAGGCCACTTTGCGGTAAAATACGAGACCCTGTAAAACTGGGGCCAAATTCTCAAACTGAGTCTTGAGCTTCTTTAAGAACAGAGGAAACCCAGACTCCAAATTAAGACTCAAATTCAAGAATTTTCTGCAATTCTAAGCCGTCATGGTTGAAGATTAATAGCATTGCTATTGCTATTGTTATTGCTATTATGATTATTATTAATTATTATTATTAACGCTGGCTTTTACTCCCTAGCCAGAATAATGGTCAAATCAAAGGTGCAATTTTTTAAAATAAAAAAACAAGTCACCACTTGTAGTGGATCAGAGAAGAGAATCCATTAGAGTTTGTGCTTCTCTGACTTCTTGTTTATAGGTTTAAACCATATGTTTCGGAAGATTCTAGAGAGAAGAGCGCACATCGCAACCCCCGGAGTCTCGGGATTTCACTTGTGCCTTCAGAAAGCACCACTTTGTCTGGGGATACAGTGCATAGTTTGGGACACGACATGTCAAAGTGACTGCCTGCCAGGATGGTGGAAGGCAAACTGGATGGACTTTGGTCTTCTTTCGCCAACAGATTCTGATGTCCTTAAAATAATTCCCCTCAAAGTTAAACCCATGTAACTCCCTCTCTCTCAGCCAAGTCTGGATGACGCAACCTCCTTACTCTATTGCAACGGCCGGTCAGAGAATCGGTCGGTCAAAAATGACATCAGCGCGTGAACACTGGAGCAGAACGTTCCTACACTCAGAAGCACGGTCCTGAACAGGGCAGCCACGTTAACCCGAGGAACCTTCTTAGTTAAGTTTGATACGGTGGAGCAGGAAGAGAGAGCACAGGCAGGGAAACATCTCCACCATCTGTAATGCATTAACAGGCATATTTTAAAAGCTTCCTGTCTCCAAAGTTTCTCGCCAGACAAATGAAAAGCCACTTGAAACTCGCTGATGGGAGAAGAAATGCCAGACACCAAATAGCTGATGCAATACTGACTCAGTGAATGAATTTCATAGCTGGATGCCTTAGCTCTCACTAAACAGTCACCTCTTCAAAAGCATGTTCGTGAGGATTTTTTTAAAAAAAAATAGAGGGTTTTGAAGGCAGCGAGAGGAGGGAGGGGAGGCCTCAGGGCAACCAATAACGCAAAGTTTCCTTCAAAACCGTGCGCTCCCTCCGCTCAGGGGTCTCGGTCCTGCGCCATGTCCTCTCCCTACTAACCCCACCATCAGGGTCAGGCCTTCAGCCTCTCTGCCCCCACCCTTTGGAACTGCGACTCACAGTCCCTTGGTCTCGCTCGCTCATTTGCCTCCTTCAAGGCCTGTTTCAAGATCCTCCTCTTCGACCACGTCTTCGGTCACCCTCCTACTCCCACCCTTCCTGCCCTCCACCCCTCCTGATCCCAACCCTCAGGTCGGGTGAAATTCCTTGACTGCCCAGCGCCTTGGGACGTCCTCCCGACGTGAAAGGCACCGTGTAAATGTCCTTTGTTGTGGCTGTTGTTGTTGAAACTCAAATACTGCAGCTACTTTCAGCGGCGTTCGAGGATATCAGTTCCATCCAGGCAATAAAACACGCCCGAGACAGAGAAACAAGCGGATTTGGGCCGCTTTTACAGCGCGATTGGAGAGCAGTGAAAAAGCACTCGGTCGACCTTCATTCACAAAATGACCCGCTAACTTCAGAGCTGAGCTGACAATGGAGCTAAACAAGGCGGACAAGAATAAGCCAGTTGTTGTCAATTCCGGTCCCAGTGAATGGTCAGAGCGGCTCAGCCAACAACACCAGCACGCGCTGATACACGCAATGCCGA